GCAAGGTTCCTTTGGTTTTTAAAAACAAAGACTTCAAAGCTTGTGCAAGGGCCAGAAATTCATTAGGGAAAGCTTTTGCAGATAGAAGCCTTTGCCCTTTGAATTTCTGCCGATCGTGCCATGGTAAGGTTAAAGGCATAGGGGCCTTTTGTGAAAATGGTGGCAGTAATTAGAGCCTACCTTTCATTATCCTAGGATAAAAGATCAAAATGGCTTTGAGTGGAGAGCGGGATGTCCAGGTGGCAGAACCCACGAGGTTCTGTCCACGAGGCTGTCACCTTCCACCTGTTCTGCCTTGGCCCCGCCCTCTGGCCCGCCCTCTGGCCCCACCCACCCGATTTTTGAAATCGGCAACCCGACCTTGTGAGACCGCTCGCTCCCCTTGACCCATCTCCCTGTATCATCGCTGTTCTCTTCCCCCAACGCCGAAACAACCCAGAAAATCACAACATGCAGAGTAAACAGACGCACATTTCCCTGATTGGCATAATTCCCTCCCAATTATGATATTTGGGTGTTCGCTAATGAGCGGCTTTGGAGCACAGCCGCGTCTCAGCCCTTGATTGATCGATCGTGCCGCCTCGCTGGGAACGGGGGGGGGGGGGCGGGTCGTCTTGGGGGAAACATCTGCTCAGGGGGCGTGAAGCCTGATCAGCGGGCGGGGATCTATTTGTCTGAAAACTTCGGCTGTGACTGGCAGGTAGCAATGCGGATGCTCTGGTGGTTGTCGTCGTCCTGGATAAGCGATTCAAAGAAACAAAAGTCCCCCTTGCAGCCACTTTGCTGAAGTTTAAGTGGGCCGAATCTGGGGCCGAAGGGGCCTCGCCGGGACCCCCCAAAGTTGATGAGCCTTGCCGTTCAAATTACCTCGCCTCACCTCCCCCTTTATTCAAGGCACCCCTGATCTGGTCAGTGTTGAAGGCAGCCTGGAAAGACCCATGCAATGCTATATCGGATTATCAAGTTGGCACAGGTTTCCTCAGGCAGCTCCCTTCCTCTGTTGGTGAGGTCCTGGCTAGGCCAGGTGCCAGCGGTCAGCTAGGCCGGGCATTGACTGAGAGTCCAAGGGCTTGGAAGCCCCACCACCAGCCCAGGCTAGCCACACCACCGTTCACTGACCTCTGTGCCACCATAGATCAGACCAGCGGTCCGCTTAGCACAGTCTAATTTATTTATTGTTGGAAGATTCAGGACAGATAATAATAATAATAATAATTTATTTATACCCCGCCCATCTGGCTGAGTTTCCCCAGCCACTCTGGGCGGCTTCCAATCAAGTGTTAAAAACAATACAGCATTAAATATTAAAAACTTCCCTAAACCTTCAGATGTCTTTTAAAGAGAAGATAGCTGCTTATTTCTTCACATCTGGTGGGAGGGTGTTCACAGGGCGGGCGCCACTACCAAGAAGGCCCTCTGTCTGGTTCCCTGTAACCTCACTTCTCACAATGAGGGAACTGCCAGAAGGCCCTCAGCGCTGGATCTCACACAGTGCATACTGAAACCGCATTGGTGGCGGTAATGGACCACCAACGTGGATTGGCTTTAAAAGAGGATTACTCTAGACCAGTTTTTGGAGGAGAGGGCTATTGATAGCTACTAGCCATGATGGCGAAGCTCTCCCTCCACAGTCCTGGGCAGCAGTGCTTCCGAATGCCAGCTGCTGGAGACTGCAAGAGAGGAGACTGCTCTTGTGCTCAGGTCCTGCTTGCTGGTTTCCCATAAGGAGCATCTGGCTGGCCACTGTGAGAACAGGATGCTAGATGGGCCATTGGCCTCACCCAGCAGGCTCTCCTTATGTTATTATGTTCTATTCTGACTGGCACTCTGTCACCAAGACTAGGCTTGCCATACGGAAACAGCTCAAGAGAGAGAGACATTGTACATACTTTTGTAAACCAAGAAAATCTTTAATAAAAATACATTTTATTTTAAAAAGCTAGCTTTGGCATTTGTTAAAAGACCAGAAGCTTTATTGCTAGGCATTGCAGGTCAAAAAAATATCCTAGCCGATGTTCTAGCATTCATAAATAGTTTTTATTTATGTTTGCTAGAACATTGGCTAAGGGACGCGGGTGGCGCTGTGGGTAAAACCTCAGTGCCTAGGACTTGCCGATCGCATGGTCGGCGGTTCGAATCCCCGCGGCGGGGTGAGCTCCCGTCTTTCGGTCCCAGCTCCTGCCCACCTAGCAGTTCGAAAGCACTCTTAAGTGCAAGTAGATAAATAGGGACCGCTTTCCAGCGGGGAGGTAAATGGCTTTTCCGTGTGCTGCGCTGGTGCTGGCTCGCCAGAGCAGCTTCATCACGCTGGCCACGTGACCCGGAAGTGTCTCTGAACAGCGCTGGCCCCCGGCCTCTTAAGTGAGATGGGCGCACAACCCTAGAGTCGGACACTACTGGCCCGTATGGGCAGGGGTACCTTTAGAACATCGGCTAGGATATTACTAGCCCAAAAATGGAAAGATGACAAGATACCAACGAAAGAAGAATGGCAAGTAAAACTGATGAAATATGCTGAAATGGCGAAGCTCACTGGAAAACTTAGAGACAAGGACAACAGAGACTTTTAAAAAAAGAATGGGAACCATTTATGATGTACTTACAGAAACAGTGTATAGAAGTGGACTCACTAGCAGGGTTTGACTAAGCACTTACAATTAAGAAAACGAGCATAATAACTAAGAGGCAATAACTGGGAAAATAATAAAACGTGAGATGTAATTTTGAAAAATGTGGTATAAAAATGACAAGAATGCAATGACATTTAGCTAAAAGAATACAAAATTAAGACAGAATAAAACAAGAAGGAGAAACTGATATTTAAAGAACCAGAAGAGGAAGTTGAGGGAAGTCAGAGGAGGAGTGGGGGGGGGTTGGGACTTGCATATGCTTTGTTTTTTTCTGTGATAATGATGATTGTGTTGAAGTCAAAATGTAAAACTTAATAAAAATTATTTAAAAAAAAACAAAACTAGCTTTGGGTTAGGTTCCCCCTCCCCCCAAAAAACCAATTTGGGGTTGTTCCCCCCAAAAAAGCTATGGATTCACCATGTTTAAACAATAATTTATTTAAAGTTTATATATAGGGACGCGGGTGGCGCTGTGGGTTAAACCACAGAGCCTAGGACTTGCCGATCAGAAGGTTGGCGGTTCAAATCCCCGTGACGGGGTGAGCTCCTGTTGCTCGGTCCCTGCTCCTGCCAACCTAGCAGTTCAAAAGCATGTCAAAGTGCAAGTAGATAAATAGGTACAGCTCTGGTGGGAAGGTAAACAGCGTTTCCGTGCGCTGCTCTGGTTCGTCAGAAGCGGCTTAGTCATGCTGGCCACGTGACCCGGAAGCTGTACGCCAGCTCCCCTCGGCCAATAAAGCGAGATGAGCGCCGCAACCCCAGAGTCGGTCACGACTGGACCTAATGGTCAGGGGTCCCTTTACACACACACACATATATATAGTCTGTATGTACGTCAAAAGATTAACTATAAATGTGGTATCAGACTGGGAAATTTGTGTAGAAAGATCTTCTTTTTTCATTTTATGTGCAATTGCTGAACCAGATATAAATTGTAATATGAGGACAATACTGCATCAAGGTTGCTGAAAGGAGTGAGCCCCTCAGCGTGTAACACCTCAGCTCAGAGGCCTGCACTGGTTGCTGATTTGCTACTGGGCCAAGTTCAAGGTGTTACTATTAGAATATAAAGCCCTTAACAACCTGGGACTAGTTAACTGGAGAGGTTGCCTTTCCCCACCTGTGCCCACTCAACTGCTTTGACCTGCAGAATTGGCCCTGTTACAGGTGCCACCACATAATACCTGTTCCGTATTTGTAAGAAATCGACAGGTGGCAGCACCTATTGACAATTAGGCAGGTGCCTCACTGTTACTCGTTTTGGAGCCTGCATAAAACATTATTGCTTAGACAAGCCTACCCAGATATGTAGAATGTTTTAATTTTTGTTTAGCTTATCACTGATTTTAATTATTATTTGACTGTTTTAAACTGCTTTTTTTAAAAAAATGTTTTTACAGATAGTCTCTCTTTTCATAAACTGCTTTAAGGGTTCGTTTGTTATTTACAATCAAGCAGTATGAAATAAATAAATAATATGATTAGTAAATAACATGTATGATAAAATTAACTTTAAAAATACTTTATCTATTTCTGCATCTATCTATATACAGTATTAGCAAGTGCCCTTCCTGTTAGAACCTAAAAATAAAATAATTTTTGGATCCATTAATAGAGCTCTTAGTTTTTTCTGTGCAACAACTCAGAAACCAATTGTTTTGTGTTTGTTTGTTGGGAAACTAAAATATCCTGCACTGATCATTCTGTATGAAAACAAAGGCAGGTATGTTTGGTTTTCTTTGGGGCTCCCCCTCTTTGCACAAAGGGGAGGCTCCAAATCACATCTCCTCTGACGGTCTTGGACACTTCCCATGGGATCTTTTGTTTAGCTCTGATGTGCACCCAAGATGTACTTGGGATTAGCTGGGAAAATGTGAAGACTGTGAAAATGTAGCATGCAGAAGGGACAGCTGTGGGTGCTGCACACAATTGATTGGGTGATGTGCTGCTGCTCCCTTGATTCATCAGCCTATTGGCCTGCTTAGAGATATGTTGATTTCTATTTATGACAGTGATCATAGAATTGTAGAGTTGGAAGGGATATCAAGGGTCCTCTAGTCCAACCTCCTGCAATGCAGGAATCTCAAGTAAAGCATCTACGACAGATGGCCATCCAACCTCTGCTCAAAAACCTCCAAGGTCCATTCCACTGCCAAACAGCTCTTACTGCCAGAAAGTTATTCCTGATGTTTAGTCGAAATCTCATTTGTTGTAACTTAAAGCCATTGGTTTGAGTCCTACTCTTCCAAGCAGGAGAAAACAAGCTTGCTACATCTTCCGTGGCACAGCCCTTGAGGCATATTTGAAGATGGCGATCACATTTATTTTCCAGGCTAAACATACCTAACTCCCTCAACCTTTCTTCTCAAGGTGTGGTTTCCTGACCCTTGGGCATCTTGACTGGTCTCCTCTGCACATGTTCCAGCTTATCTAGTTGCAAGTTTTGGGAAAGGAGTGGACAGGAGCCAAAAGTTAATGGGGTCAAGATTACCGTGGAAGAAGAGTCTGTCATGGTGGGCACATTTCTCCTTTTCCAGGGAGATTACAGGTAAACAGCCCACACTGAGTGAATCAGGGAGCCCTTATCCCTCCAGACTGTGCCCCTTGGGACTAGTTGGGTGGAAGGCAGATAAAGTGGTGACGCTGAGACTAAGGAAGAAGACGAAGGAGACAGCCAGGGCTATCTACCTGGACTGGTTTAACATAAGAAGGCAGGTGGGTGGGAGCTGGCTGAGAACATTCTGAGGTTGGTGGGGCAGTGCTCCACTTCCCCAAATGGACCATCCTCCACCATATCTAACCTCATCAGCTTTGAGCAAATCAGGACAAGCGCTCCACAGCGCCAAATTACCTGCAACTGGGGTGTGGTGGTGGATATGGGTGAGCATATGGCTTTGAGACAAATAAGACTCCCTGGAGGAGAAGTGTGTGTTTGAATAAGAGAGCAGGCTGTTTCGTTCTGTGAGGAAACGCAGCACGTGAGAAGCTGATCAGAGGGTGAATAATTTATTTTTGCGTGAGAATACAGTGGAGAGACCTGACCTTCACACCCTTCTATTTCTATCCAGTGGTTTAATCCTTTTACGGAGGTCATGAAACTGTACTGGGGCTGCTGCACTTCAGGCTGTGAATGGGGGCTCATATGAGGGATACATCCACTTCTCCAAATACAAACGCTCCCTGCACATAGAAAAGCAGCAGAATGCAGTACTGTGCAGTTAAAGAGACTTGCTAATCTGCACTAACAGCCATACTTCACATTTTCATATAATGTTTTAAGAGTATTCAAACCACATATTTGGTGATGCAACCAATAAGATTATAAGCAAGTCTTTGTATGTGCAATCCATGGGGGGTTTGACTATGCTACTGTAGTAGAATTCTTGGTCCCCCATAAATCCCACAAATTGGATGACTTTGCAGAATGTCAATGCTTTCTCTTAATTGCATAACTTAGACTGGTTTTGCGAGCATAATTGGGAAGGGAGAAGGAGCCAGGAGTCTTATACAGCCATATTGCTTTCAGATATATATTTGCAGCCTTAAGGACTGGAACTTTGTCCCTGGTTTTGAAAAAAGCTGAGATTTTTCAGGCTGAAGAAGTAGTCCCCTATCCTGTGACTTTTTTCTCCCGCAGCGGTGAAGAACCAAGGCTTTATCCCACCCCCGCCGCCCCTCGCTGCATCATCTGATAAGGGAACAGTCTCATGGTGGCAAGAGGATGTGTATGATTTTTGGTAGCCCACAGTTTAATGAAGTGGAGCAGATAGTGTCAAAGCCAGTTCCTGTTGCTGGCAGTGCTGAAGAAAGAACTGAAAGAATGAACCTTTGCATGTTCACAGGGGTACTCTTCCCTGTATAAATACTTTTCGTGCAGCCTAGGGTGATGAGCCTAGGACCTTCTGCATGCAAAGCAGGTGTTCCACCACTGAGCTACGATGCTAGTTCAGGGCTTGGATGTAGTCAGTGAGGGCGCATATCTAAGAGACGGCATTGTCCTTTGCACAGGACCAGAGTCGGTCTAGCTTTATTTAATTCAAGCATGCATCTCCTCAGGGGCACCGCGACTGCCTTGCGGCCAACGCACGCAGCCGGCTCGGAGCTTCCGCGTTGAGCCAGGATCCTCGGATTCCAAGATCACTCGGCCGCCTCCTGTCAAGGTGGTGCCAGGGCACTCTGCACAACCTCAGAAGCACTCCACCGATCCCACTGCCGGCGCTTTCCCTCCCCGCTCCAGAGCCTCCCCAAATATAGGCATGGCACAGCCTGGGCTTCCTGCACCCCGCCCCGCCAGGTCTCTCCTGTGGCGCCCGAGCCGCAGTCAATGAGCAGCCGCGATGCGCGCCGAGGGGCGGCTAGTCGTGGCGGCGGCTCCTCCTCCGGCTCCTCCTCCTCCAGCGACACTCGCAGGGGTCTGCCTGGGAGGAGGCGGACTCCGCTCGGCCCGCCGAGGCAGCAGCAGCAGCCGAGATCGCAGCCTGTCCCCAGAGTTGGGGGTGGGGGTCGGCATGGGCGGTGGTGGCAGCGGCAGTGGCGGCTCCGCGCGGCGGTGGCGGCGATGAGCTTCGAGGAGGACGATGGGCACGGCCGTCTCCAAACGCCGCTCGCTCCGCAACGAGGCCGTGGCGTCGGTGGCGGCCAAAGTCAGGTGAATCCGAGCTCGGGTTCTTTTTTGGGGAAAGGAGGGGGCGAGATCGGGATGCAAAGCGAAGGAGCAAGCTAGCCCTAAAGAAAGAAACCTATCGGGGCGCTCGGAGGCCGTGCGTAAAAAGGCGGCGCGTAAAAGGAGAGCTGCGGGCGCAATGATGGTGATGGTCGAGGGGGGGACACGAGGGGGTCATCTCTTTCTCTCCGACCCCCGTTACTCCAGTGAGAGATTGAATCCTGCACCGGGTGGAGTTGGGGTCGTGGGTGCAAAAAGCAAGGAGTGTGCAAAGGAGTGAGCGTGGAGGAATTTGATATAGTCTCCGCGTCGTGCATGGATGAACATTTATGGAAAGGGAGGTTTGGGGTGAGGGGGCAAAAAGAAACACACCGGGCGCGTGTCTGTGCAAGTACCAAGAGACCAGGTTGGAAGGGGCGCGCGCATGGGATCGTGCAAGGGCTGGGAAAGAAGAGCGAGCGTGCAAGGGAGACGTGCGTGTTTCCAGAGGAGCACGTCGGTGTCTTGTTCCGCGCTCGGAGGAGCTCGTCCGCCTCTGATTGACGTCAGAGGCTGGGGAGGGGAGGGTGCACAGTGGGGAGGGGTCTGCCACAAACCCGGATTCTATATTTCCTTTCTGACTGCTGGATCGTATCGGGGCTTTGGAGTATGCTGGATCGGAACGATGCGCTCCTCCGATGCTCCTAACCATCGCTGTACGGATTTTGTCAGAAAGCGGCAGGCCTGGTGTTCTGTGCCCTTCTACACCTAGGGGAGAGGGCTCTGGAACATTTCAGCTGTTCTCTCCAACAAAACTCCCCACCACCACCAAATTGTGTGGTCTGAGATGAAGTAAAAACATCACCATGTGCCAAGTTTTCACACAGGGAGAAACACACATACCTCTAGCACTTTTCCTTCCGGCAGTGCAGACAGCCTATCCCTGGTGTGCTGCATCTTCTCAGCCTGCCAAAAGTGTCTGCTGTTGAGCGTGGAGGGTAGGAGGACAGCGCTGCTGCTGCTGCTGCTGCTGCTGAACCCCCGCCTTTAGTCTCCCACCATGCCAGGGAGCCAGAAGTGCTAACTCTGTATTTTTAGTCCGGCTGGCGCTGGGTTGAAATAGCAGATGACGTGAGGTGCGAAGTGTTTTGGCATGCTGCCCAGCCGTGGACCACTTTTTCTTTTTCTTTTGGCAAAGGCTCAAAGAGCCCACGGCTGCCCTGGTGAACTTCCAAGCTCTGGGAATGCAGCAATGATGTTGGTGGGGGGCGGGGGACACGGGACCGGCAAGCTGCCTGCCTGCCTGCGCAGTGGTGACTTTGCCTCCGCAGCTGTTTAACTTCTTAGCCTTGGAAGATGCTCTCTGCTTGTCTTGGACGATCCCTCTCTGGTAGCAGCGTGCTGACCAAGAAAAGTGAGCCTTTGGGGAGGGGCCTCGTCACTGTGTTGTGTTTTGCACCTAACGTGCTCCTGTTCCTTAGCGCCAGATGAAGGAGCATATGCGGCTTTTGTTTTCTACTGGCGACACAAAACCAAGGAGAACTGCAAGCATCACAGAGGATGTTTAAAATGTAGTGACGCCTTCAGACTGCCGATATTTGTAGGAGGGATCCCAGCACGTATACCGGAAGTTTAGGTTTGTGCGTTTAAAGTGAAATTAAGTGGTCTTCTACCCTAGTGCAACAAATCCACTTAAAATAAATCACAGACTTTGGTTGTTTGGAAAGTGAATGGGAAGTGCATTGAAAAGTGTGAAGTGAACAAATGATTGATGGGAAGACATCCCATGTGCAAAGTGGGACAAATGCCCAATAAACAGGTTCCCTGGAGATGCCCAAACTCCCTACTGTTAATTTAACCTTACTGAAAAATTGAAATCATTTCCCCTTTAAACAAAAAACCCAAACCACACACTTGTGCATAAGACATTTAGTGTGGTTAATTTTGATTGGTGTCATTTTACAGAGTGAGGTGACGAGGGAAAGGATAAGCAGCAGGTTCTGATTGTGGGGAAAGGACCTCTTTGGGAACAGAAGGAAGAACCTGTGAGACAGACTTTCCAGAAGAAGGGCAGAACTCTTGTTCATGAGCAGGGTTCGCAAACAGGGGTGCAAGGACCACTGGTGATCTACAATCATTGTGTCCCCGTTAAATATTCACATTGATTTCTTAATGTATTTGTATTGCTTCATTTATTTCTTAGATTGTAGGACGGGAGAATACAATTTGAATTCTGTAGAATGTGAATTGTATTTTGCCAATACAGTGGTACCTCGGGTTACATACACTTCAGGTTACAGACTCCTCTAACCCAGAAATAGTACCTCGGGTTAAGAACTTTGCTTCAGGATAAGAACAGAAATCGTGCTCCGGCAACAGCAGGAGGCCCCATTAGCTAAAGTGGTGCTTCAGGTTAAGAACAGTTTCAGGTTAAGAACGGACCTCCGGAACGAATTAAGTACATAACCTGAGGTACCACTGTAATAATAATAATGAATTTATACACTGCCCTTCAACTGAAGATCACAAATGAAACAAAATATACGAAAGAAAAGGAGAAATAATTTTTAAACAAATAATCATGCGGCATCTAGCACCAGCAAGCACGACAGAAATTGTAGTAAGTCATTAAGTGGTCTTCGGATTTTCAAGTTGTCCATGGGGGAAAAGAAGATTGGGAACCACTGGTCTTGAGGTTGGGTTGCATCCTGTGGGAGCCTTTTTCTGACAGACTCCAGGGTGCTGAGCAAGGTGACCCTTGAGTTACTTCTTCAAAATTCTTCAGAATTACCATCTTCAAAATTCTAGGCTATGCTTTCTACATTAAGCTATGAGATATGATGCTGGTCATGAACAGGAATGACCTGACTCCAGCCCACCAAGAGCAGGGATACTTTATTCATTTTACTGTGAGCACAGGATTTGGTACAGGGGTGTAAAATTTTCAAGCTACATAGAACCTTTGTTTGCATTCAGACCCAGTTCCCAGCCTTTGTTATTTTGGCAACAGCATTTCAAATATCTTAGGAGTGTTTACTTGAAATCTCAGGAGCTGAGGCAAAGGGACGGGTGGGTGTGTGTGTGTGTGTGTGTGTGTGTGTGTGTGTGTGTGTCTCAGAGGTTTCCCCTCTTCTCTTTTAACAAGCAGAAGAAATGGTTCCAAATTAGCAAATGTGCTAGATATTACAGATTCTCCCATTTCTGAATGACTCCTTTTTCTTAGTGCGGATTTGACCCGACCCTGCTCCTGAGATGGAGTGCTGCAAGCCTGCCCTCAGAACAATGAGGACTAGAATGCTTGTTTGCTTGAGCATTGACACTTTGCACTGTGTTTCCAAAAAGCACTGGTCCAGATTGCATAGCTGCAGACACAACTAACTGCAAAGCATTTTACTGAATCACTAAAATAAGGTAATTTTAAACAACAACTGTAGGAGGCTTAGTTTGACTCAGGGAGAGAATCTACAGTTGCTGTTATTACCAGTATTAAGCGTTCATTAGGAATAAAGTTAAGACAAGACTATTTTGTAAAACAAACATACCAAAATGATTTTTTTTCTATCCCTTGGGAGGTATCACAAATCCATGTGCTCTAGAACCATAGGTGATCAGGGGGTGCATGTATTAACAAGTGGATCTTTGTATTTGGCTCCCCTGCATGCTCTTATTAGATTCCGTAAGTCTTTCAGCCAGCTCTATGTCCCAGACTCTGTGGGAGATTTGCTGGCTTTATGAAGCACTGCCTAATCTATAGATCTCAGCAGAGCTTTCCTGCTGACAAATGGACAATAATTTTCTCACTTAGAGGCTGGTGATGCTGAAATTGTGAGGTGTGTGTGTGTGTGTGTGTGTGTGTGAAGCTTTTGGGCTGCTGGAATAGCTCAATTGGTAGAGCACAAGACTCTTAATTTCAGGGTTGTGGGTTTACTAAAGACTCTGTTTCATGTTGATGTCAAATAAGCCCCAGCAGCTCAGTGGACAACGGTAGTCCTTCAGCGATTGAGCTGGGACATAAGGGTTTGGGTGGTCCGTGGCGTTCAGGGCGTTGTAAATTAATGGAAGGCCCTTGAACCTGGCTCAGGAGTCGATGGGCAGCCAGTGCAGCTGTTTTCACGATGGTGTCCCATGTTCTCGTGGTGTCCCATGTTCTAGATGCCCCCTCCAGCAGTCTGACTGCCACCTTCTGCACCAGCTGGAGCTTCCACACCAGGCCCAAGGGCAGCACCACATAGAGCCCCTTGCAGTAATCCAGCCTCAAGGTTACCAACTCATGGACTGCAGTGGTCAGGTTACCCTTGTCCAGGAATGGCCACAGCTTCACTTCTCCACCATTTCCTCAGCAGTTTACAATTAAACACACACACACACACATTGTGAAGACATGGCAGCCGATTTCTCCTGATAGACCTGTTTGCGTCCCATTTTGCCTTATGCGCATTTTTGCAAAGCAATTTCCTCTAATATAATGTAGTATTGTACATGTTATTTTCACTATTTTTTGCTGTTTCATGTGCATATTATGCTGGCATCTGTGTTTTTGTACACATGACTTGGCCAGAGAATTGCATTGCGAAATTCGGATAAGGGGTGAATTCTGAAGGGTGGCGTCTGTTTCAGTTTGCAAGCTGTTTCAGAAAGTGTTAATTAGGTAGGTTTGTATTTGAATGCAAGCTGAATCAAATCTTTCTTATCTGATATTCAGGGTTCTGGACCAGATGGGCCGCTGGCCTGATCCAGCAGACTCTTCTGAGGCTCTTATTAATATCTCCCCCATCCCTACCAGAGATAAATACATCTCTGTAGGCTGCTGGTATCTGAGATGCTCAAAACCACAGCTCAAAGTCTCTGGGTTTCTTCCGAGAAGCTCCTAATTTCAGTCCCAGAGCACCTGACCCAGCTCTTCCCAAGATGGTTAATTAAGCTCTCTGCAACTTTCATTCTTGGCCTGGATCCTTGTAAACAACTGCAACACCCGTTTCAACAGGGGATGTCTCTGAACGCCATCCGTTAGTATAGCTTTTCTGCAGTTCTGTTCTGTTCTGGCTGGAACGGTTTAACGTTTTCTTTACATTCGCAACTGTTCTATCTGTCTTTAGAACTGTGATATACCGGTAACTGTGTGACCTGTCCTGGAACCTTAATGGGTGAAGGATGGTGGGAGGAAATCTTACAAATACAACAAATGAAATAAATATCCCGTTGGTACACTGTGCTGTACTGAACATAGTTGTGGTGGAGACACTTCTCTGATTTATTTCCTGCAGACCTAAAATGAGGAGAGGCCAATGAGGCAAGACCATAGCTCATTGGTAGAGCACCTGCTTTGCATGCAGAAGGTCCCAGGTTCAATCCCTAGCATCTTCAGGTAGGGCTGGAAAAATGCACCCTGAATGAAAGAAACCCTGGAGCTGCCAGTCAGTGTAGACAATACAGGGCTGGATGGATCAAGGGTCTGACTCAGCATGAGGCAGCTTCCGATGTCTTTCTCTTCCTAGATTTACAAACTGCATATCTGAAGCATGTCAATAGGTGTAAGTAAACCTTGGCTCTGATTTAAATGGATCAAATCAGGGAGGGGGGAAAGTATTTGGATCATTTTCAGACATGTCTCCTGCCCCTCATTGAAGGAATAGGTATGTAAGGTGGCAGAGAGAGCAGAGGGTGGAAATATTTGGAGTTGCTGCTTTGGTCAGCTTTTCAAAGTTCTCAGATTTTTATTGAGGACAACAAAGAAAATTGATGTTTTGCAGCTTTCTGCCCCAAGACAGATTTATCTCTTCTCTCCCCAGCTCCCACTCGAATCTGGAGCTACTGGAATGTAGAAAGTGTCTTCTAAAAAGTTCAATTTCCTTTCTATGAGCCACCAAAAACTGTGGCAACTAGTTAAGTGTTCGTGGTGATTGGTGTAAGTGCATGAGTTGTGACCGACTCTGGGGTTGTGGTGCTCATCTCGCTTTATTGGCCAAGGGAGCTGGCGTACAGCTTCCGGGTCATGTGACCAGCATGACTAAGCCGCTTCTGGTGAAACCAGAGCAGCGCACGGAAACGCCGTTTACCTTCCTGCCGGAGCGGTACCTATTTATCTACTTGCACTTTGATGTGCTTTTGAACTGCCAGGTTGGCAGGAGCTGGGACCGAGCAACGGGAGCTCACCCCGTCACGGAGATTCGAATCACCGACCTTCTGATCAGCAAGCCCAAGAGGCTCAGTGGTTTAACCCATAGCACCACCCGCGTCCCCATGTATGTAGTATGTATGTATTAAAAAAATAAAAAATAGATAAATATTATATGAACCAGTTGACAGTGGAGCAGACTTTGAAGGCAATGAACTCTACTTTATTTGTGGGGTTGAACTAGATGACTTAGGGTTTCCTTCCGAGTCTCTCTTTCTAAACGTGCATACACAGAAGTGATGTCATCAGTGTGGCATGGAAAAAAAAGAGTGCTAAGGCTGCATAGATACTATACACCTAAAGCACACCAGTTCCCCCAAAGAATCCTGGGAGTTGGGATGGAAGGGGTAAACAGCTGTTCCTAGGATCCTATTTCCAGCGGGGCTTATGAATCATCTAGAAGTCTTCCTTGAGAACCAGGGTCCCTCTGGAGGTATTTGCTGGCTCTCTTCCAAAGACGGTGTGGGTGGAATCTTGGTCATCCTTATATTAAGTGCAGTGCATATTTCATTCCATATTAATTAACATAGTAATTTGATTTCACCCGATTTGGGGGATGGGTGAGAAGAGATGGTCCAAAGCTCTGATACATTCTGGCTTTGTCGAATAGGATTTTGTGTGTGTATGTCCACAGATACCTTTAGGTTTCAAATTGCTCCTGCACAGGTTTGGGTGACTTCCACGTCAAAAGAATAGAAAAGGAATGTATAAGATGCTGTAATTGGGCAGAGTACTGATTTTAATGTCAAAATGCAGTACTTGCCAACCTGACACCCTCCTGATGCTTTGGGCTACGATTCCCATCAGCCCCAGCCTGCACACCTGGCACCCTTCAGATGTTATGAACTACAGTTCCCAGGCTGGAGATTGATGGGGCAGAGGTTGACAAAGTCTGTTCTAATATTACTGCTGCTGCTTAATTATTTTTATTATTTTAAATTGTGATCGTTTGTATTTAGTTTTTAGCTGTGGTATTTGTATGTTGTTACAAATATGTTTAATTTATAATTGTTGCAGCATTGCAAGAAAGTATTTCCCTTCCCTGAAATGTGATTAAACAAATGGTAAATACGCCCACAAAAATAACTTGCCTGCAATGTATTTATTTACCACTTGCCTGCTGTGAGCTGGAGCAGGAACGGATGGAGAGATACATTTGAATATTGGGTACCAAGGAAGGGGTGATGTGACTCATCCTTCCTCTGCCAGTGTCTTCACTCACTTGCATGTACGTTTCTGGCAGCGGATGGCTACCAGGCCAGTGCTTAAATGCAAGGCTGCTGTTATAGAAAAATAGGCTCCTATGTTCTTGGCATTCAGGGTGCAGCAGGAGAAAGGACAGATGTGTTTAAGCAGGAGAAGAGATGGAGGATAAGGCTATGTTCCACCTTCACTGTCAGAGGCAGTATGCTGCTGACTGCCAGTTGCTGGGAATTATGTTTGGGGAGAGTTGCAGTTGTGCTCAGGTGTTGCTTGTGGACTTCCCTTTGGGGCATCGGGTTGGTCATTATGAGAACAGGATGCAAGGCTAGGTGGGCCTCTTGCCTGATCCAGCAGGCCCTTCTTATATTCTTCTTCTTATATTCTGATTCCTCTGTCCTTCATCTATCCATCCAGATGCAGGGATGAGCACTAACTTTAAAAGGGGATTTGATAAATTCATGAAGAGTAAGGCTATCAGTTGTTACCAACCCTGATGGCTGTGCTCTCCCTTGGAGGCAGTAACGCTTCTGAATACCAGCTGCTGGAAACTGCAGGAGGAGAGAGGGCTCTTGCACTCATCACATGCTCAAGAACTTTCTGGAGAAACCCGGTTGGCCACAGTGAGAGCAGGCTGCTGGGTGATGCTGGGCCTTCAGCCTGATTCAACAGGGCTCTTCCTATATGCCTTGGAGAGCTCTGAGGGTGGCAGAGTTGGAGGAGTAAAGGTCACCAGCCAAGGTGTTGGAAGAGATCATGGTGGAGAATTCCCCCTTCCCTCCAGTTAGGTTGAATTGGCTGGTAACCCACTCCCCGTAATGCCCACCCTGTGCATTTGCTTCCCTTGCTCTTCTAGCATGCAGCATGGCTCACTTGCTTGAGCCATTGAGAAGGATGTCCTCTCTATGAACTTGCTTCTGAGATGAGCCTGGGGTGTGTTTTATATCCCACCTTGCTTTCAAATTGCTTGTGGTGCTTCCAGAGTGGCTTCTGTGGCCCTGCCTCTCCTTCTCCCATCCCCACAACAAAACTGTGAAGTAGCTTAGGGTCTGGGATGCAGGTGGCGCTGTGGGTTAAACCACTGAGCCTAGGACTTGCTGATCAGAAGGTTGGCAGTTCGAATCCCCACGACGGGGTGAGCTCCCATTGCTCGGTCCCTGCTCAAAGTGCAAAGTAGATAAATAGGTACCGCTCAAAGTGCAAGTAGATAAATAGGTACCACTCTGGCGGGAAGGTAAACGGTATTTCCGTGCGCTGCTCTGGTTCACCAGAAGCTGCTTAGTCATGCTGGCCACATGACCCAGAAGCTGTACGCCGGCTCCCTCGGCCAGTAAAGCGAGATGAGCGCCGCAACCCCAGAGTCGGCCACGACTGGACCTATTGGTCAGGGGTCCCTTTACCTTTACCTAGCTTAGGGTCAGAGAGACCACAGGTCTTTCATGGCCAAGTGGGGATTTGAATCCTGGTCCTCCAAGTCCTATCCCAACAACTCCACTCTGATTCTCTCCCTGGGCAGTGAGTGTCTTGTGTGAGGATTTCTCAGATGCAGAAGCTTATGTTTTCCTATTTGTTTGCCGCGGTAGTAGCAAACTGTTCCTTCTCACGGCTTATTCGCTGGTCTACGGGCAGCATCAGACTCTCACACCCATTTTTAGGCTCCTATATGTTTGGGGTTTTTACTTGCTTGTAACAGGGAATGCCACATGCAGGCAAACTCTGGATTCCAGAAGGTTAACCGCATGTCTGAAATCCACCCCACCCGCGTCATTACATGCCCTCTGTGGCTTCTGGTCTTTGCTTTGAGCTGCTGTGCTTTCAGGCGTGCAGCGCCAGCGCTCAGTAACGAACCTGCCTCCCGCTTGCTGCGTTATAACTGCATCGGTTGCATTGGAATCTCGGCGCTTTTGGTGCCTCTTTGGTCGCCTTTTGCACACCTGCTCCATCCAAATGGTTCTTTCCTTAACTTCACTGCCTTAGCTGCTTCCTTCAAGGGCGGCAGTGAGGAACCTCGGAGCTGAGGGGCGGGCGTCGCTTGAGTGTTCCCCCTCTGCTGCAGAGACGGGGCTGCTGTGTAGTCTTTCTGGAAGTCTGGATAGAGAGATGCTCCGCAAAGCAGAAGCCACTTTTGCCCAAGTCACGGCTCTGGCGTAATAAAGAGCTGGGAAGGAAGCGCTGCCTTCTGCATGATTTCCACCCACATTGCCTTAGAGATGAAGCCGCGGTCGGTACTGACACCACCAGCAGCCCCGGAGGTCAATGGGACAAATTGCAGAGGGCGAATAAAGGACACAGAGGTGGAACGAGTGTCAAAAAGGGCGGGGAGCGGGAGAAAAGTGCACAAAATTTAATCAGGCTAATTAATTTAATTGAATTAGCCACATTTGTCACTATTGTTAATTTCTGTGAACAGAAGTTGGATTACCTCTGTTGCATTATTGCCTTACTTACCTGCATTGGAGATGAGTGGCTTACCTGTACACAGCATATGCGAAATAAAAAAAAAAAGCTGAAAGGAAGCTAAGTGCATGAGCATGTACAGAGTGCACATCCCTTGTCCAATACAGCAGTGTTCTCATATCCTGCTGCTTTCTTGCTTTAAAAAAAGTGTGTAGCTGCAGAGCTGTTTTGCTTCCTTATTGTTTAAAAAATTTTTAATGCATCCTAGTAATGTGGTTGACAATTAATAAATGCATTTATTTATGTATTGATATTTCTGGACCTTATTTCATTTGCATCCCTAAGAATTTCTGAGTTTGGGGTTGAAACACAATTTTATAAGCTCTTTAAGAGATCAATTAAAATCAGATGTCATCAAAGTCCTGCTTTAGAATACTTCAATCTATCTACCAAGCTCTGATAGGTTTCTGACTATTCTTAATGTTTCTGGCTGTTTATTTATTTATTATTTTTATTGCATTTACATCCCACCTTTTCCTCCAAGATGTTCAAGGTGGTGTACATGATTCTCCCCCTCCGAATCCCCACAGCAACCTTGTGAGGTAGGTTAGGAAATTCCCAGCCTCCCTGCCATGTGACTTTCAGCTTATTCATGTTTTTATTTGATTTATCTTGCTCTCAGAATGGGTTCCAGCACTGGATTTGTGTGTTCTTGTGTTAAAATGTCACACGGGCAACAGTCACTCTCTACACAGCCTAGAAACTTTGATGACATATCAAAAATGACCTGGATGGCACTGTTAATTTTTTTATCTGTTTTTTAAAAATTGCATTTCTATTACACTTCCCCCCCCCCCCAAGGAAAGGCAGTGCATGTGGTTCTCCCCATCCTTTTTATCTTCACAGCAATACTGTTAGGCTGAGAGAGACAGTAACAGTCCCAAGTTCATCCATTGATTTGAAACCCTGGGCTGGGTCCAGACACATCATAGAAGCGTTTCAGTTACGCATTGTAAATTTAAACAGGGAAAAACGAGACTCCTCAGCGCCACCTGGTGGCACAGTGTTATATCGCATATACTGTACAACACATACACCGGTAAATTGCTTTTTCTTTACCAATTTAGCCGAGTCCCTGGTTTCCTGGGTTCTAGTCACTGTGTGCTATCACTGTTTAAAAAGGGTTTGTGCAGAGAGCATGTGCCAGTACTTCCAGGTAGAAGCTGAGTGAATCACTGCTGGCTACGTCACAAGTTTTTGTTTTTGTTTTGCAACATGTACGTGATGTTGCCATCCTGCACTTCTAAAAATGTTTTCATCCAGATTTCTCCTTACTGCATAAAATCCAATATGCAAAAATAACCGAATATCATGACACAGCTGCTGCGGGTGTGGAAGCACATTAGTGCATTTTTGCAAGGTGCAAGGCAGTGTTGTCACATGCGTGGTGACATTTCAGTGGTGGTCACGATCGCTATCATGGTTGCCAGAGAATTCCAACAAAAACAGAAAAGGAAGTGGGAATCACCAGAGGTCTACTGGTTCATCTATGGTTAGGAACAGAAATCAGTTAAACAAATGCAATTCTCATTGATTCCTATGGCAAAATTTCTAATGTGTTTCGGACCATGTTGGCTTGCAACTAACAAATTCTTTATTTCTACATTGTTTTGCCAATCAGAGCAGTCAGCACTGGTCTAGATGGGCTCTAGTGAATTGAGTCTGCATAAGCAGCTTCACACATTTAAGTCTAGGACTTGCCGATCAGAAGGTCAGCGGTTCGAATCTCCACAATGGGATGAGCTTCCGTTGCTCGGTCCCTGCCCCTGCCCACCTAGCAGTTCGAAAGCACGTCAAAGTGCAAGTAGATAAATAGGTACTGCTCCGGCGGGAAGGTAAACAGCGTTTCCGTGTGCTGCTCTGGTTCACCAGAAGCAGCTTAGTCATGCTGGCCACATGACCCGGAAGCTGTACGCCAGCTCCCTCGGCCAATAAAGCAAGATGAGCGCCGCAACCCCAAAGTTGGTCACGACTGGACCTAATGGTCAGGGGTCCCTTTACCTAATGCTCTTCCCAGTGCAGTCTGCCAGGGGTTTTCCCTGACATCTTTTCAGCACCAGTTGACCTCCCCACCCCTGGCTTTCGATTAGACTGAAAAGATGTTGCTTTTATCATTAGTGTGCTGCCAAAGGTTTCTGTGGCTGTTATAGAGGGTTGCTTTGGTTTGTGTGTGGCTGTACAAGCACACATTGACAGTACATTTAAACACGCCCCCCCCCAAAAAAGAATACCGGGAACTGTATTCTACAGTTACAGGGCTACAATTCCCAGAGCCCATAAACTACAGTTCCCAATATTCTTCTTTTGAGGAAGGGATAATATGCTTTAAATGTGATTTAAATGTACACAGCCTTGATTTTCAGTTGTGTTGTCAGTCACTTGTAGACCTTCAGGGAGCTCACCACTAACAAGTCTAATAAGTAAGAAGAAGGACATAAGAAGAGCCTGCAGGATCAGGCCAGTGCCCCAATTAGTCCAGCATCCTGTTCTTATTTGCAGTATGTGTGTTCGCGTGTGCTAGGTTTCATCCCTTAGCCCTGGCTGAGCCAGTTGTTGTTTAATGTTGCTAGAGAGAGGCATTATCGCTTATGTATGAAAGGTCAGGATGCAACCCTGTGACATGGACAAAGGAGGACCATTGGCATTTTTTATTTTTATTTCTGCAAAGCTCTGGGTTTGCAAAATGCCAGTTAATGTTTTGAAATGGTTGTATTTCCAAAGAACGTCACCCAGACAAAAGCCTCCTCTCTGAGCACAGCCTGGTTGGTGATGGTGAAGGACTTTGTTGGGCTGGACGCCAAGTTCTCAGGCTGTCTCTGTTTTTCTCCCTCTCTTGCTTTACTTTGTCTGTTAATGGAGCTGCTGGCCAGTGTGCCTACCTGCAGGGACCAAGCACGTTTAGCAAGGGAGTCAAAACAAATCTGAGTGAGAGCTCGAGAGGACAGGCATATGACTAGAAAGCCGTCTCATCAGTTAGGGTGGACGAACCATCAATTTCACTTTCCGTTTCTCACTTTCCTAATTGTTAGCATCACATTTCAGTATCAACTAGCAATTAATTTTTGTTTTTAATTCTCATGGGACTCTTTCTCATGAACAACTTGGATTAAGAATGCTGCAAACCCGGAAGTAGGTGTTCTGGTTTGTGAATTTGCCTTGGAATAAGAACATGTTCCGCTTCCTGTTGAGTGTGTTCCATTTGTAAATTGAGTCCCCCACTCTTCCCTGCTGAGTCTGCCGGCTGCTGAGTCCCGAGCACCCACACAACACAGAGGTGATATTGGGAGCTTTAGTTTTTGCCCTTTTTTGCATTTTTGTTTGTGTGGTTTTTTCGGTTTTTTGACTGTGACTTGTTCTTCGTTTTGTGGGACTGACTTGTGACTGTGGCTTGTAACTTTGTTTTTGTGACTGTGTGGAACCCAGTTCAGCTACTGATTGATTGATTGATTGATTGATTGTGTGACTGCAGAAATGGAGCCCAGGTCTGAAAAACAAACAACAACTATCATCAGTGCACATAAGAAAAATAATAATTTTAATTTTTATCATCTACAATACTGTCTTATTTATTTTATAGTACACTTCTCTGATTATTGCTTTCATTTATGGATCAGTGGTCTCGTTAGATAGTAAAATTCATGTTAAATTGCTGTTTTAGGGTTTTTTAAAGTCTGGACTGGATTAATCCATTTTGCATTACTTTCTGTGGGAAAGCACGCCTTGATTTTGGAATGATTTGGTTTTGGAACAGACTTCCGGAACGGATTAAGTTTGGGAACCAAGGTACCACTGTAGATCTGTACAAAACTAGACCAACAAATGCAAAACTCTTACCATCAAATATGCAATGGCCATTGATGTCCTTAATGATGCTGTCCCCATAGTTTACAAAACAATGTACTAAGAATAAGGAGTCAAAATTCTCACTATTTTATTATTCTGCGATATCTGATTATGGCCTTCCAGGTTATTATTTTTAATTTATCAGTTGATAAGTTGTCGAAGGCATATACCCATTTCTATATGCAGTTTTGCCTAATATACCCATTTTTGCACGCATGTCTCTAATACAATGCATTTTGGGGTATATTATTTTTGCATACAGAATCCATTTTTATCCATATTCTCACCTAACGTGCCTTTTTGTACCCCTCCATATGGCTGGAGAACTGTATTCCTAAATTCAGAGAAGTGTTGGTTTGCATATTGTTTTGAGCAGTACAGTATTAGAACAGTTTGCAAATGCAAACCAGCTTTCTTTCACCATCCTTGCCTTCTGGCTACCTTAGGCAGAAACCCATTTTGCTGCAACATTTTGGAGGAAGCCCATACTTTCGTTGCAAAGGTCCTCAAACCTTCTTGGTTTAAGAAAAACAACAACTGAGGAGCCCAGTTCTGAAAAACAAGGATAGCAGAACTGGGTGTTCTCACACTATTTGCAAAAGAAAACCTGCCAGGAAAACCACACTCCAGAAAGCTAAATAGAGCAACCAAGCAAATAGGAAGGAGGAGTTAAGTGACCAAGTGAGCCCTCCTTTCATCTCCATAGCAGTTGAAACTGACCATTCTCTAGTTAATGTCAACTCCTTAACCGCTTGGCTGCAAAATGTCCCAGGGTCAGTTCCTGGAATCTCCAGATATGGCTGAGGACATGAGTGTAGCCAGGATTTTTGTTAAAGGGGGTAGGCCTTTTGTTTAGGGGGACAGAACCTCAGTTTGCTATGTATTTTTATGTATTTTATTATGTTAATCATTGATTTTAAAATATTGATTTATTCAAATCATCGATTTCAAAAACCATCATTCAAATCATCGATTTCAAAAAATCATAATCAAAACCATCAATTTCAAAATACAGTAGTACCTCGGGTTACAGACGCTTCAGGTTTTTTCAGACACTTCAGGTTACAGACTCCGCTAACCCAGAAATAGTACCTCGGGTTAAGAACTTTGCCTCAGGATGAGAACAGAAATTGGGTGGTGGCGGTGCGGTGGCAGTGGGAGGCCCCATTAGCTAAAGTGGTACCTCAGGTTAAGAACAGTTTCAGGTTAAGAACGGACCTCCAGAACAAATTAAGTTTTTAACCTGAGGTACCTCTGTAATCATGATGAAAACCACTGATTTCAAAACAATCATGATTCAAAAACACTGATTCTAGAATCAGCATGATTTAGATCACTGATTTCAAAATAACAGTGATTAAAATCATTTATTTCAAAATAACGATGATTTAAAATGATTGATTTTTTTAAAATATTGATTTTAAAATCCCCTTGGCTATGCTCATGACTAGGAGAGATACCCTAGGGAGCTGCTACCAAGGCATATGGGTCAGTTGTCTTACACAGTAAAAGGCATCCACCTAGGGCCCCTTGAGCCTTCGGCAAAGAGCTGTTTTGCCATCCTCCCCACCTCACCCCACCCCAAAAATCTGACACAGTTGAGGTTGCTTGTACAGAAAGATGCCTCCTCATGGCTGGTCGGGACGCCTGCACTCCAAGGAAGCTGCTCCAAGGACCACTTTGTTCCCACTCTTGCAGCAGGTCTCAGCAGACTCCTTCCAAGGGCAAAGCAGCTGGGGGATGATGATGCTCCAGGTGTTGTGGGAGGGTGCCTATGCCTGATAGGTGAGTTTTGCATGCCTGGCGAACCCCTAGGTACACCTATGCAGCCACCTGTGTTCATGAAAAGCATCTGTAGCTCAGTGGTTAGAACATCTGCCTCACATGTGGAAGGCCCAGGTGCATTGGACGAGTGGTCCGACTCTGTACAGGGAAGCTTCCTGTAGTCCTACCTAATCCATCCCATTATTCAGAACAATGAGGACTAGAATCTTTCTTCGTTTTCATAGCTTCCTGGTAGAGCACATGCTTTACATACAAAAAGTCCTCAGCGTGACTGGGAAAACTCCCGGGGAGCTGCTGCCAGCCAGTGTAGGCAGTGTTGAGCTGGGTGGACGAATTGTCTGTATGCTGCTTCCTAATGCAACTGCAGACGGTCCCAGATAAAAATGCATCACTAGTTTAAAATGTTGTGGGCAGGAGGTAGTGTGAAAAAGCAGCTGCTAGTCAGAGCAGAGGAGAGACTACAGGGCTACCTGAATGAACGGCCTGACCTGATACAAGGCAGGTTTCCTATTCTTTATCACCAGTTCGGAGCACTGAGTACACAGTCTCTCAGTGGACCAGTCCATCTGATTCATCTACATGTTGTCTGTAGAGACTGTGGAAGCATTTTGAAATCCTAAGTGCTGACATTCACATTGTTTTGCGCACATTACTTGCCTGGAGACCTGCATTGCAAAATTAAGAGAAGGACAAAATTCTGAAGGATGGTTTTGCTTCAGTGTGCTTATGGTTTTGGAAAGTGTACTTTAAGTAGGTTCTCCTTCAAATGCAAACTGAATCAGATTTCTCCTTTAAATCTTAGTTCGGCAAGAGCCCTAAATCCGCTTTATTTGCAGCACTTGGGTTTTCCAGTATGTGATTGAATCCCACCTGCAAAATAGTGACACCCTGGATGTGCCCTCCAACTGCCTCAGCTGGATTTCCATCTCTGCCACCATCCTTTGGGTTATGACTGGAAAAGGTGCAAGCTTTTAGCTGGTGGAATTTTCCAGTGGGAAACGACTCTCTTTTTCTTCCCCTGGGCTGTGAAAGAGCCTCTACATAGTCCTTCGAGAGATGGCGCAGCACACTCCTGCAGTCAAGCATGCTTGAAAGGGACAGAACAAAAGGTGCCCTTGAGCATAGATGGTTCAGCGCAGTGCTGTGGCAAAGAGGCAGCATCTTCTCCTTGATGCATTCGGTGATGGTGGCAGGGAAGGATCAAGTTGGTTCTCTGGATTGCCCCTACCAGATCTATCTGTTTTGGTTTGAAGCCTGGAAGTGACATCCCTCTGATCCACATCCACATCCACACCCTGCACCTAACCTACCTCACAGGGTTGTTGTGAGGATAAAATCAGGAGGAGGAGAATTATGTAGCCAACTTCAGCTCCTTGAGGTGGGATGTAAATATAATAAATATAAATAGCATTTTTGTACCACGCTAAGAGTCATGGAGAATCCTGAAAACTGTGACCTCTACAGTTGCAAGCGCAACTTAACAAACCACAGTTCCCAGGACTCTCTGTATGTTAAAGTGATATAAGAATGCTTGACCTCTGTATATCACTGGACCACAACTCCCATAATCCCTGACCACGGACCATTCTGGCTGGGGTCGATAGTATTCATAGCCCAGCAGTTTCCAGAGGGCAGTCTGTTGGCTTCCCCTGCTTTAGATTTTCTCGGTACAGGTTTTGGGGTACTGTCCTGGATGACACAATTGTGATTGTGCGGCAGAGTGGATGACTCATTTTTCTAAGAGGCTGCAGTTTTGGAATAGCTAGGGACTAGTCTCTCTCTCAATTTCTCTGTCATTTCCCACCCCCCTCTCTCTTACACTTTGGGTGATCTGCAGCTAATTGACAGAGGTGCTTTGCCCATCACATCAACGAACCTCATCTTGCACTTGCCCCCCCCCATTAATGCAGAATGCAAGAGTTAAGTCCCCTGATGTTGGACTACAACTCCCACAATCAGGGATGATGGGATGTTGTAGTCCAACAACATCTAGAGACCCAAGGTTGAGAAAGGCTTATTTGAATCCAAATGAAAGCAGGAGAGTCTGATTTCCTGACATTGCTGTTTGTTCGTTTTTATCTAAAAGCAGCTGTGGGTTGTGACAGAGAGAGCAGTCTCTAACTGGAACAGAGGTACTGGGAGGAGAATAACTTAACCTTTCTGCCTGTGTGGTTTCCACAGTCTGCCTATCCCCCAACTCTAAGTTGCTTTTTTGCCACCCTCTCGCCTCCAGCAGAAAACATACAGGTATATTCCTCCACTGTTATGATAATGGCAGCTTTGAGGTGTGTGAGTCAAAGAGTGAGTGGTTTCTCTTTGTGGGTTGTGGGTGGGGATTTCCCTCATTTTTATGAGGGTGACAAAACACTTTGGAGCTGGATTTTGCTAGTTTGCTTTGCTAACTCCCTCCCTCCCTCCCTCTCTCTCTCTCTCTCTCTCTCTCTCTCTCGTTTTTCCTCTTTCTCTCCACCATTTTGTGCTTCTGCACACCTGACAATTTAAAGAGCGGCGAGGGCTTTTGGAGATTATCTCTCTCAGAACCATCCGGAAGGCCAAAATGGTTCAGGTAGGAGGATGTGTTGATTTTTATGTTATACTCATGTTTAAAATTATTTATAGGCTACTTGAGGCAGCTTACGTGGCATAAAAACACATTTTCCAAAAGAGCCCTGTTGAGGTTGTTTGTGTGGGTGTGGTATTGTTCAAAATATTTAATTTAATTTATTTATTTCAATCAATTTATAAGCTGCTTGATTGTAAAAAAACAAAAACAAACTCAAAGCAATTTACAAAAAGGATAAAACAATAAAATGATCAGTAAATAAATGGTTGTTGTTGTTGTTTTGCATGACTTGCTGCAAAACTTAGTGGTGTCCAGTTATGGAAGGATATGCCAAAAGAAACCTGCATTTTTAAAATTTATGCAATGTGATATACAGGGCTGGTGTGTGTGTGCTGCCATTATGCAGGAGTGTATAAAGGGTTGGTGTGGTGTTGGATTAAGAATTCAGCTGCCTGAGAACCTTGGCTTTAATTTCATTTATTAGTCCTCGTGAGTTTCTGCACTGCATTTATGAAAATGAAAATTCCCAAACTAGAAGGAAAATTCCCAAACTACCGGTAATTAATAATGGTGATAATGATCATAGGTTTGAAAGTGGGCAGGTAATATGTTCTGAAATTTCAGAAGGAAGATTCAGAAGGCTGAATATGTTTCCATTGTCAGGACATGGGGTTTTACTATCTTATGAACGTCAGAAGTGCCCTGCTAGAAATGTCTGAACTCAAAGTCAGAACAGTTGTCCATCTTCAGATCCTGGACTCCAAATTTCTTTTCACACTGGAGAAAAAGAAAGCTGGCATCTTTAACTCAGGTTCTCATATGCTCCTTTCCTTCCAGATCACCTGCTTGCTGAATCCTACGTTGGGCAGGAGGACTCCCCAGATATGCACCAGGGAGCCCAGAACAAGCGCCGCCTTTCCCTCATTTCTGACGGCAAATTTGAACGCAGCTTCTCAGAGGAGCGTGGCGAGAAGCTGGCTGGCGAGGGGCCCAAACCACGGGTCTACACTATCTCCGGGGAGAGGCCTATGCTCTCCCAGCACCAAAGTGAGAGCATGGAGCTGGTGGTCATCAAAGGGGCTGAGGCTGAGGAGGAAGAGGAGGAAGACTGCTCCCAGGGCCAGCCTCTCCAGAATGCGGTCAGCTCCCACAACATTGGGAGGCACTGCAAAGGGAGCTGGGCAAGCAGCCGCCAGGTCTCCAAGGAGTGCACCGGCTGCACCCACCTGGCTGCTCCTTCCCAGCACGCTTTCGACATAGAGCATCCTCACCCCCACCACCCCCATCACCACCACCACCACCACCAGGCCGGCGAGACTGGCTGGCGCCGGAAAAAGCTGGAGAGAATGTATAGCATTGACCGTGTGTCAGGTTAGTAACGGAATAAAAGAAACCATTATAGCTCGATTGAAAGGCCTGTGCTCTTGTCTCCAACAGTGGGTAGTCTGATTTCCCTGGAAAAAAATGTGGGTGGAGTGACACCCTGCTCCTGTAGCCAATGTGGTGTAGTGGTTAAGAGCAGTGGACTCGCAATCTGGTGAAACGTGTTCGCTTCCCCGCTCCTCCACATGCAGCTGCTGGGTGACCTTGGGCTAGTCACACTTCTGTGAAGTCTCTCAGCATCACTCACCTCACAGAGTGTTTGTTGTGGGGGAGGAAGGGAAAGGAGATTGTTAGCCGCTTTGAGACTCCTTAGGGTAGTGATAAAGCAGGATATCAAATCCAAACTCTTCTTATTCCTTGCAGCTAGCAATTGGAGGATGAGACAGTTTCTGAAAGTGGAGGTTCCACTTATCATTTACACTGCTGCTCCACTTACTTTTGGCTCTTGCTCCACCCACCAGAGGCATGTGGCCCCCAGAAGGTTTGCTAGGAAAGGAAATGTGGCCCTCGGTCTGAAAAAGGTTCCCCGGCCCTGCCATCTAGGATTTAGCTCCATGCCCAGTTCGATGTTGTGATCTGCATTATGGTTGGATGGCTGACAACTCTCTGGTTTTGTTTATTAAATAATAAAGTAATGTACAAGTCATGAAACTTCTGTGGCAGGTAACGTAGTAAAGGAAGGGTACTGGTGGAACAAATAGCACGTTTGCCCCCCTTCCCCAGGGGTCATTTGAGGTCAAAGTGCCTGTTACAGAGTTTTAATTAATTTTGGATTCTGAAGCTCTGTAGTCAAAGGATAAGAACATAAGGAAAGACTGGCTGCTAGAATAGGTTAGTGGGGCATCTAGCATCCTGTTCTCACAGTAGCCAGATGCCCATTATGGAAAGCCCCAAACAGGAGCTGAGTCCAATAGCACTCTCCCACTTGCGAACCCAAGGAACTGGTATTCAGAGACATACTGACTCCCTTAGTGGAAGGAGAACATAGTCATTGTGGCTAGTATCAGGTTCATATGGGGAGATCTTTCAGGTATCCTGGGCTCAAGCTAAAGAGCCAGCATTGCTGATAACCATTGATAGATCTGTCTTTCTTCATGGAGCTGTCTAATCCGCTTTGAAAGCTTAATGAGGCTGAAGTCCATCACCATCTTTCTGTTCCCCTGCTGTCTGAAGTGTTTTCTTTTGTCTGTCCTACTTAATTTCATCAGATGATCTGCTCTTCCTTTCATCCCATGATAACTCTGGTGAGGGAAAAACATATCTCTTTATGCTTTGTCCACACCATGCGTAGCGAACTTCAATCGTGTTCCCTTTCTTCCCAGAACTGAATGCTCATTGCTGTGACTGTTTACCTCTCTTGCAGATGATGTCCCCATCAGAACTTGGTTTCCCAAAGAGAACCTCTTCACTTTTCAAACAGCTACAACAACTATGCAAGCGTAAGTTAGAAAACTGGTTGGCTGGGCATGGAGGAGAGCATGTAAAATGTCTGCATGCTCATTCACTTAACCAGCCATTCTTCTGGGTTCACATAGCATTGTTATAACAGAGACATCAAGCTGCCTTATCTGAGCCAAGCCACTGATCCATCACATTCAGTATTGTCTACAATAACCCACAGCGGCTCCCTAGGCTTTCGGAAGCAGAGCCTCTCTCCTAGCCTTACCAGGGGATTGAACCTGGGAATCTTCTGCATGCAAAGTATATGCTCTGCTGCTGCAATTCATTTAAGAGAGAGAGCAGGGTTCTAGTCCTCATGTTTCTGAATTCAGGGCTGATTTCAACAGGAACACTGGAAGCCTTCCCTTCATGCTTGCTCAACGCAGCTTCTTTTGCATAAAATATATTGCCCTTCTTTCTCTCTGTGGCTTCATCTCCACATACATGTTTATATGTGTACATTTTTGTGCTCTTTGGAAATGGCCACAGCTACAGCTTTTTCACACAGTAGAGTCCCATGAGCATGACTTTGTGCTAAATTCACACATTTAAACTGCCTCATCTTATTCAGTTATGAAGGCAGGGTAGGGACCTGAGCCTTTGCCTCACTGATGGTGGAGCCACAGCTTTGGAATGTCACACTTTGAAAATGTTTTGGTTTTTTTATTTATAATCATTTGGTGTCAGGTTAAAAACACACGCACGCACACGGAGCTGCCGTCTATCTGCAGAGCATGACAATACATTACATTTTTATGTATATAGGAATATATGTATACACCCACCCACCCACCCCTTGCTACTGCAGAAAAGTTCAGCTTGTATTTCTTCACTAATGTATATTTTCTCTCACTCTTTCTCTCTGCCTCCCCTCTGCTTTTCGTGGGACCATCAGCATCTCGTAAGTACAGCTGCTACCACCCCACAAAATTGTAGCCCCATTTTGGCCCATGTTTGTTGGCATCTTTGGGTAAAACCCCCCACATTTTCCCGGTATCTTGTCCATATTTGGATGCACAAAAAGGTGACAAGGGCCTTCCAGCCTTCCACCTATTTTTCTCTGAATATGATGTCATTCCCAGGGTCTCGGTAGTGGAAGACTCAATCATCAAAGATTAAACCCAGCCAGCAAGCATCTAGCAGCTTGCATATTCATCCAACCCTCCTCTCTGTTTTCTCCTTTGTTCTTTTTATGATTTTGTTTTTATATCTGTGATCCGTTCTAGGAGACTGGGGATGGAGAGAATCCCTGACCATGCATCCTTGTAACCTCTTGGTTAGGGAGATGGGGAACCTTTGGCCCAGCTCCCATCAAGCCACACCTGGAGGGTCACAGGTTCCTCTTCCTTGATCTAGGTTATTTGTAATGCAGATGGGAAGAATGGGCAGCGGGGGTGCAGGGTGTTGAGGCATGGCAAATGACAAGAGAGAAGTCGCCTTACTTAAAATACTCAGCAAACTGAATTTTTGTGGGGCCCCCCCTCCCCAAGAAAGGCCTCTGCCTCGGACATTTCATTGTTAAGGTCCAATTTTTCAGTGTCATTTCTGAAGCTTTCTTCTCTTTTATCCTCTAGGGGTTAGGAGGTAAACATTTAATTAATGCTCGTTCCTTCTCTGAATGTTGTTCTCACAGTAGGCAGTGCAAAACCTTCCTTTACTGATGTTATGGGTTACAGGGTAGGGGGAACATAACTAGAAGGAGTTAGCCCATGATAGGGGAGTGCAAAATGTTAGCCTGCCACCAATTTATTCGTTCTAGACATAGTCCTTTTTCTCCAGGCTCTTACGATATGCCACCTCCTGATCTAGTCTCCTCCCCCCAAAAAAACTCAGTGTGTGACATACACTCAACATTCCTCCTGACCTATTTTGCCCCTCCCAAAAAAACACCAGTGCATGGTATACACTCAACATCTCTTCCTAATCTATCTCCAAGCGCAAAACAGTGTATGATACACTCAACATCCCTATTTGCTCCTTGAGCCCCTCTCCCAACTTGTTTGTAGTTCATTTTGTGGCTTGCGTCTCCTTCCTCTTCCTCAAGAGGTTTGCCTCTTGATTGGGAGTCTGCGCTCTCCCTTGTCCTGTGTTGCTGTCCCCCCTCAATGTCGTCTCCCAGTTTCGAAGCTGTTCTAGTTTGGTTTTAATGCCTTAAAACTGGTTTCCCAGGGCATTCAGGGGCTACGCGGAGAGGAAGAGGCGGAAGCGGGAGAATGATTCTGCAGCTCTGATCCAGAGGTACGAGGGCGACTCCTCCTCGCACGAGTTCAATCCTTGCCTTGTTGCATGGGCCACCTGCAAGGGGCATCGGCATTGCTTTTGAAAAAAATAAATGCTGGCAGCGAGATGTTTCAGATGCTGGTACAGAGAACCGAAGAAGCTGATGGCAGTCAATTGGGCAGGTTCTTTGTTCTTAACAGGGCACAGTCCCTCTGAAAGCAAACTTGGCAAGAGCTTGAAGGCCAAATATTTACTAATGTGGTTCGGTTCCATTGTGCAGGACTCGTCACTGATTTTCTGTCCTCCCAGCAAATAGAGATAACTAAACACGGGGTGGGGACCTTTTTCAGCCCAAGGACCACATTACCTTTGGGGAAAACCTCCGAAGGATCACATTCCACTGGTGAGCAGGTCCAAGGCAAAAGTAGGCAAGACATCAAATGCAAATTTTACTTTGTACAAGAGTCTACTCACACCACCTCTCTAACATCCATCCAGGCAAGCAAGAAGCAAGATGAGAATTCAAGGCAGGGTCAGCCCACCCATGAGGCAAGATGAGATGACTGCCTCATGTGGCAGGATCCACAGGAGCAGCAGAGCTGGCCTCCAAAGAATCACTGCCTGTTGCCACAATGATGGCAACAATATCTGTAGTGCACTCCTCTGAGGCCAGGTCAGCTTCCTCCTTGGCAGTCTCCCTCACCACCACCCCATAGCAGCCTCTTGGCAAATTGGAGGCCTTGCTAGTCTCCTTCCACCCTTGTTCCTGATGTCAATCTTTCCACCCCTCTTGTTCCTGATATAGATCTTCACCCACCTCTTCTTCACTGGCTGTGGGGAGGCACCATGTTGTAGTCCGCCTCAGGTGCCAAAGTGTCTTGGGCCAGCCCTGATTCAAAGACACATTCCAACCACACATAAACATGCAAGGAGGGCACAGAGCAGGGTCAGTGAGGGATGTTGTCTAGGGAGAGTCCCAAGGCTTGGAAGGCCATGTTTGGCTCTCACTCCTGAGGTTAGAATCAGAACTTCGCACTGAAAGAGGAAAGGCAACCCCTCCCAAATAGGCCCACACAAAGAGGGCTAAATGTTTTGTGATAGGGTAGTGTTCAAAGTCCTTTGCATACATTAACTCCACAATTGTTACAATAACCTACTAAGGTAGATAGTTGTTATTTTACCCCCCCCCCCCAAGTCCTGCAGACTGGAAGACTGAGGCTGAGTGAGCATGAGACTTACTGTGGCTGAGGTAAGATTTGGAGAGGGGGATGTTCCAGTTCACACTTGTGATCTCCAGCCCTTCTCTGAAAGGAGGGGAACCACATATACTCCTAGGCTTTGCCAAGTTTGCTTTTGCTGGGTGAAGTGGGGAAATGGTGAAGAAGAAGGAAAAGTTGGAGGGAATCAACCTTTGCAAGAGATGTCCCGTTAAGAAGGCTGTTGTGTTGTACAGTTCCATCTTGGAAAAGCTGGGACGCCTCCCAGCGAAGTGGTTGTACTCTGGACTTGAGCCAACCTGAGATGCGAATCTCCCTGCTTTGTTTCTCTGGTTGCGGGAGAAGGTGGCTGAGTGCATGTTGCTGCGTGGGGCTTTTTTCCAGCAGGTTCGTCTGCCGTCTGGCACCCTCTCCTGGAGCTTCGCAAGGGCAGACCTTGCAGGCGGTTGAATGTGGTTCCCATCTTGGGTTGATGCCGCCAGTTTCCCAGGCTGGCCTGGTCTTTCCTGCTGCCTCGTCTTGGCAAGATCCTGCGCTGCAGTCCTAAGCAACCCCCCTCTCCTCCATCCCTGATCCTTTTGCTTAGAAACTGTTGCACGTTCGAGGGGAATAAATGCTTTTCTTCCACCCCCTTTGGTGCTAGGCTGGCCTGCTCACTCTCCTTGGCTCAGAAGGAGAAGCTTGGTGCCAGCAAATTTTGGTCTCTTGATGTGGTGCCCAGTCTGGCAGGGCGAGGGACTCATTTCAAGCTGCTTTCTTTGGTAATCAAACAGTGGCTTTTTGCTGCAGCAAGATGCGGGGGGGGGGGGGGGGGTTGCTTGAGGCTGGCTGAGGAACTGGGTGTGGTTGTGGCTTATTCTCTTGAGAACTTGTGGGGCAGGGGAGGAAAGCTCTTCATGCTACTAGTCCACAAGAGGACAGGATCCTGTGCCAAAAGACACCATCGTCACAGCAGCAGAAAGGAAGGGAAACAAGCTACTAGTGAAGTGGAGGGGGGTAGCTTTCATTTTTTCATTCTTTGGGGCATTTTGAGAGGTGAAGTGTAGTGCTTTGATTGCAGTGATGTCCCCTTGCCCAGTTTCTGTAGTCTCTGGGGCAGAAATGGCTTCCAGTATGGCTGCCTTACACCACAGTGTTAAAGAACACTGGGGGTGGGGGTGGGGAGAGAGATTAAATGTTTGTGGCTCTGTCAAGGGAGGGGAGATTTTTAAGGGGAAGGTGCAACACCCTCCTCTCTATGGAGGGTGGATGAGTGGAGAGGAAAAGAGACATAGAAAGCCTCCCCCTGCACCATGTTCTCTTGGTCCTTGCGTCGTGCCCTGTTTTTGTCCGTGGCGGGACATTGCCTTGCCTTGAGGGCTTTGGCGGCAGCTCATAGTTCCCCATTGGTCTGAGAGCCCCACCCCTGGCCTAATGTGTGTGTTCCGTGCCTCCTGCTGGGTCCAGCAATGGGCCTGTGAGTGTCTCCATGGCAACCAGGCCTAGTGTGGATGGAGTCAGTGGTTGGGCTTTGTGTGATCTTGGAAGATGAGGTTCTGTTCTCTTTCATACAAACGCACACGGAATCCTTTCTGTGACTGAAATCCGTTCTTTGTGCTTGGGTTGCTAAATACTCCCACCCACTCACCCCTTGTATATAGTGAAAGAATTTCTGCACTATTATAGAGTGATTAATTGACTGGAGGAACTTTTATCCAACTTCATGGGAGGGCAGGATGGAGCCTGGGCTGTGTTTGTGGCTGGCTGGCTGGCTGGTTGACTGGCTAGCTGGGGTGAATTCAATGCCACCCCTACCCCCCTCCTCACTCACTCTGTTCAGTTTGTTTTAGAGCCAAAATGCAGCTTTTTCACATAATTGCACCATTCAACGATTTGCTTTGCCATTTGGTGTTGTAAATACAGTCTCTTTTGAAATCTAAATTTGTTTTAAAAACTCTTGTCTCACCCATCTGCCTTAAAGGCCAGGGTGCGGGTTACAGCAATAAATACATTTTTAAAAATAATAATAATAAAGATTGTCAACGAAATAAGAGCAGAATTTGCCAAGGCCAAAGAAGTGCTAGACTAGGTTTCTTTTTACGCTCTTGGTTTTAAAATAAAATTTGCGGGGGAATGGAAAAAGAAATAAAAATATTTAAATCAACAATACAGCAAAATAGGGCCATCTGTAAGTCTACTGCAATCCATTTTGAGAAACCTGATGGGAAAGGCAGGTTTTCAGCTGGTGCCTAAAAACAACGCTGATATAAATCAGATGTTACGCAATGGGGTGGCTGTTACTGAGAAGGCCATGTAGGTCACAGACACTGCCCCCCCCCAATTTCTCTTAAGGCTTGAACTACCAGATGTGCCTCCTGAGTAGATCTCAAGTTATGGACTGAATGACATGGGGAAAGACTCTACCTTGGATGGCCATCCCACAAACTAATTAGGGCTTCATGCTTCAAGGCTGAAATGTTGAATTGGGGTCAGTAGTTAACTGGCGACTAATAAGAAACCAGTCTTGTAATGGCCCCTAAATGTCAGACCCAGCAACATTCATAGCCACATTCACAGCATACATCTAAAGCACTGTGATATCAATTTAAACTGCCATGGCTTTCCCAGAAGAATCCTGGAACCTGTAGTTTGTTAAAGGGAGTGAGAGTTGTATTCCCCTCTGACAGCTACAATTCCCAGAGTTCCCTGGGAAGAAGGATTGGTTGTTAAGCCACTCTGAGAATTTTAGCCCTGTCAGGGGAATGGGGGGGGCAGACTTCTAGGGACATTCAGCTGCATTAACAAACTACAGTCCCCAGAATTCTTTTTTTAAAAAAATATATACATATATATATATATATATATATATATATATACACACACACATATACATACACACACACACACACACATATATATACACACACACACACATTTTTATTGGTTTTTTAACATATTAGTTCCAACAGTCATACAACAGTCATACAACATATCTTCACATCTTATACAATATTTTTGACTTCCGTCAACACCTCTGATGATTTTCCGTTCTTTATCACTTTTCTACATTTCTTAATTTCCTATTACATTTAATTATCCTTAACTAATAATTCTTTTCATAGTCTTTCTTGTAATATTTCAAATAAACCACCTTACAAAACTTCTTTAGTCCCACTAGTGTAATCTGTCCACTACAATTACTTTTCAGATAGTTCATACATTTACTCCGTCCCCAGAATTCTTTTGGGGGAAGTCATGACTGTTTAAATTGGTATCATACTGGTATAAAATATACGTTGTGAATGTAGCTTTTCATGGTTCCAATTTCCATTAGCTACAATTTCTGGACTGTTGCTCTTTCATCTTCTTCATTCAGCTCTATGTACTTTTGAAGGAAGAAAATGCTAACCAGCCCCACTACCACATCACCAAGAGTCCAATTAATATGTGTGTACGATACTCAGAGACTTTGTGGGTGCCAAGAGAAGACATCCAGGGTGCTATGGGCACTGTATTGTTGGCCCCCTGCATTTTAGATTCTGCTTTGAGCAATGGATTTGTATTTGGATTACGTGGCCTTCAAGATGTCCTTCCGAGTTCTAAGAAATTCTAAGCATGATTTGTCCAAGAATATTTGCCCACTTTAATTTTAGCTCTAAGCTGTTGGGCCCTTTCTGAGTTTGCAGATCTGTGCTTGTTTGCTAACAGGCAAAGGCAAAATTATTGTTTCTCCTTCCTTCCAGAAGGAAAACCAGCTCTTAATTATACATGCCTTGCTAGATCAAACCGAAGGTGGGATGTGAAAGCACTAGTTGGCCCCCTGTTGGAGCCCCTGGATCTGGGGCTCAAAGATATGGATGTGCCTCTACTACCTTTGGAGAAATGCCTGTTAATTCTGTTCAGCATTCCGTAGAAAATAACTTCATAGATGTTTCCCATTTTGGATTTTCAGAGGCTCTTTGAAAATAAACTGGCCACATGCATAGATTTATGCCCTTCATTTATGCAGATTTACTTGGTAGCAGTGGAGGCTGGTTCATTTGGGCAAAGGGGACACTGCACCACCAACGTCAGTCTATCCCCAGCCAACTCCCTCCTGCCTGCCTTCTTACTTCCAACCAGTCCTGGTTGTAAGCTCTGCCTCTCAGTGTCCTCCTCTGTAGTCCCGGTGTTGACCTTGTAGGGAGTAAAGTGTGGGAAGATTGGGGGGACATCAGAAGTAATGGCTCTGCCTGCCATTGGTCTGGTGCCATCTACTGTTAGACTTCCTGCCTTCCACCCTTCTGGTCCCAGTGGGCACTAGCCTCCTCTGTCTGGTAGAGTTCCACATTTCTAATGCCTGATAACAGGTAACTTTTGTGCCTGATTTATTTTGCTTTTGTTTATTTCATGAACAATTTATATTTATGTGTCTTGTTTTCTGAGGATTCTGGGATGCCATGCCCACAGTAGCAATGTGCTATTGGGTACAGTCCAAGGCACCATGGGCGTAGCCAAGGGGAAGTTGGGGGAAGTTGCTCCCACCAAATCAAGTAAATCAATAAAAATACTTAACTGAGGTTCAGCACACACCCCGCCTCAACATAAATCCTGGCTACGCCCATGCAAACTACTTTGATGCCCAAAGCAGAAAATTCAAAATGGTGCTTTACCCTTAGTGTTTTTAAAAATGTTGTTGGGGGCAAGTGCCTGGCAGTGTGTGACAAATAGGGCTAACTCTGATTGGGGTGCCAAAAGTATATTCTTTCTCCCCCTACCCACAATCCATAGTGTGTTCATTTCAGTCTCAATTATGGTGCAGGCTATGAAAATTCTTCCTTCTGTCCCTGGACTTTGAAGAAGACCCTGCATTTTTGAAGCTGTGGTAAATGCCACAGGAGATATACTCCCATGACGGACTTCAAATTTCTTTTTCTAGGTCATATCCCTTATGGGCATTTTAGTCCCTGAGAGAGAAAATCCAAATCCTCTTCTCTTTCTTCCCAAGGTGGTAACAACCTAATAATTACTCCCTGTAATAGCAAACTTTGTGGTAAGGGCCGGCAGAAATTTGAATCGGGGCCCACTGAGAAACAAGGAGTTACGTATCAGCATTCTCGAGGGAATGCATTTACCCCTCCGCAATTACAAGAAACTTTTTTTAAAAACCTAAGAGGGTAAAAAAAGGGGGTTCTTTTGGGAGGAAGGATGAGATATAAATCTAAAAAATAAATTGACAAACAAAACACATGATTGGCATCCGTTGAAAGTTGTGTGTTGGGAGTGAGGTGGGTGTGCATAAAATGGGGATGGGGTGGGGGAGAACGACCTTCTTCAGCTGCTTATAGCTGTGTTCCCAAACTTTTCCCCTCACAGACCACTTGAAGATTGCTTAGGGTGTCAGCAAATCCATTAGGTTGCATACACACCGTACATTTAAAGCATATGCCTTTCCCCCAAAGAATTCTGGGACCTGGAGTTTGTTAAGGGTGCTGGGGGGCTTGTCGCTCTGTGAGGGTTGAACTACAGCACCCAGGATTCTTTGGGAGAAGCCATGTGCTTTAAGTGCATGGCATGTATGCTATATGATTTTTAAAATTTTATTTTTACAGACATGCCGCTGACCACCTGAATGAAGCTCATGGACCACTCTTGGTCCATAAATCACAGTTTGGAAACTCTGGTTTATAGTATTGGAGAAGGGTATGTCTGACTGGCTGGAACCTAAACGAGAGCACACCTCTGTTTGGCTGCAAGGGTAAACTGCAAGCTTTTTTGCTGCAGACCTGACTTGTACATTCAAATACAGTGGTGCCTCGCAAGACGAAATTAATTCGTTCTGCGAGTTTTTTCGTCTTGCGAATTTTTCGTCTTGCGAAGCATGGTTTCCCAAAGTCTTCAAAATCACCAAAGTCTTCAAAAACCTCAAAAAAGGCTACCACACCACATGCTATGAGTTGCTCCTCGAAGTCACCCTGGGTATTAACGGTTTTAAGAAAAAGGAAACAAACTTGCAAGACGTTTTCGTTTTTCGTCTTGCGAAGCAAGCCCATAGGGAAATTCGTCTTGCGAAGCAACTCAAAAAACGAAAAACTCTTTCGTCTTGCGAGTTTTTCATCTTGCGAGGCATTCGTCTTGCGAGGTACCACTGTAATTTACAGTTGGCTGCCCTTCAGTGGTACTCCCAAATCTCCTGCCTGAGGTGAGCATCCTCTCCCTGCAAGCTAAAATTGCATCTCTGGGCTTCTTTATGCCATTACTGAGCCAGAATCACAACACTCATTTAAAGTAGTATTGTCATAACACTCATGGCTTCCCCAAATAACCGTAAGAACTGTCATTTGTGAAAAGCTGCTGAGACTTGTTAGGAGAGGACTACAATACCCAGAGTCCCCTGGGAAGAGGGATTGAATCATAGATCATAGAACTGTAGTTGGAAGGGACCCCGAGAGTCATCGTCCAACCCACTGCATTGCAGGAATCTCAGCTAAAGCATTCGTGACAGATGGCCATCCAACGTCTGCTTAGAAACCTCCAAGGAAGGAGAGTCCACACCACTTTCCAAGGGAGTCTGTTTCACTGTTAAAGTGCATTCAGTTTTGTGGAAAACGATCCAAAGAGTAACCATGATGGTTTTGGGAGGGCATTTCAGAGCCACATGAAAGGCCATGCACTCTACTTTCTTTGGACAAGAGCTCCAAATCCTTCCGCCAGTAAGGCATAAAGCATCTTACAGGGAATAATTTTCAGTAGAAAAGCCCCACTTGGGTTAAGGGCTCAGAAACCCTTCTCTCCTGCATTATTGTTATTCCTTTTCAAATTTCAACCTTGGCATTTGCATGGAATAAGCATTAAGAATCATCCCAAAAATTGTAATTGTGGAACAGTGTTCTGCCAGCAATGGAATTCAGAGCAGGTTTTCCCTTACTTAGCAAACACTTCTGCACTGGATTCCTAAAGACAGATGTAGCAATGGCAACCCCCAAGTGGCAACTGTGAATGTAAGCATGCTGGAGCAAGTTGTGGCCAAATGGTGCACTTTCAACTTACCACCACTTGACATCCCTGGAAGATACATGCAGATTTTGCTCCCAAGATGTTAGCTCACATGTTCTCATGAACAGTTGCTGCTCCAGATGTTATTTGTTTGTGTTTCGATGAGCATTTGTTCAGGATCCTGAGCAGCTCCAAAAGTGGTGTAGACATACTTTTATTTTATTTTTAAAATAATGGTTCTGTTTTGCAAATTGCGGCCCCCTAAAAAACAGCAATAACAAAATGGCTACCAATTCCTTCTGTGTCATTGCTACAGTATATACTTGGAAAGAAGGTGATAAATCTTGTAATCAGATAAACAATGAGTAAAACAGCTATCTGATATCACCCCTTCCAAACTCTGCATGGGTCACTGAGAACATAAATTCTCAAGAGAAGTATTTACAAAAGTTAGGAATGGAAACTGTATTGTGTCAAATTGATTAGGGCCACATTCACACCACACATTTAAAAGCTACTACGACTTCTCCCGGGATGCGGGTGGCGCTGTGGTCTAAACCACAAAGCCTAGGACTTGCTGATCAGAAGGTCGGTAGTTCGAATCTCCGCGACGGGGTGAGCTCCCGTTGCTCGGTCCCAGCGCCTGCCAACCTAGCAGTTCGAAAGCACGTCAAAGTGCAAGTAGATACCTCCGGCGGGAAGGTAAACAGTGTTTCCGTGCGCTGCTCTGGTTTGCCAGAAGCGGCTTAGTCATGCTGGCCACATGACCCGGAAGCTGTACACTGGCTCCCTCGGCCAATAAAGTGAGATGAGCGCCACAACCCCAGAGTCGGTCACAACTGGACCTAATGGTCAGGGGTCCCTTTACCTTTACCTTATGACTTCTCCCAATGAATTCTGGGGGTTATAGTTTGCTAAGGGTGCTGAGAGTTCTTAGGAGATCCCTCTTCCCCCCTCATGGAGCTCACTAGGAAGAGGGATTGACTGTTAAACCACTGTGGGAATTGTAGCTCTGGAAGGGAAACTGGGATCTTCTAACAACTCTCAGCACCCTTAACAAAGTATAGCTCCCAGAATTGTTTTGAGTGAAACCATTACTGTTTAAAGTGGTATCATAGTACTTTAGATGTGTGGTGTGAACATGGTGTAGATGTAGTTTGCTCTCTTGCATTCCGTTTATCATGCATCAATCTTTCCATGAGCGCATAATGCCAAACATGCTTTTGCCAATATGCAATTAAAACACTAGAAGATGTATTCCAGCCTCCAGCTATGGTTGATCTAGCTACATCAATAGGAAGTTAATAAGATATTCAGGGAGCTGTTTAGTGCAAAGATTCCTTGCTTTTTTTCTGTGGCTGATCTCCACTCCACAAAAAAACCACACCTCCAAATCTCTTTCTATATACAGCTTGATGTATTTACCACCATGGTACCTTCTGGGAAATGGCCCACATCTCGGTCTTCTTGGCTCCTTAGTATTGACCACCTTCTCTTTGTTCTGCTTCTTCCAGAAACTTCAGGAAGCATCTGCGGATGGTGGGGAGCCGCCGCATGAAGGCGCAGAGTGAGTGAGGGGATGGAGGTGGTGCAGGGTGTGCTGTGTTGAATCACGTCCTGGAGCCCTAGATCTCCTAGACTGGGGAAGCAGAGGGGAATCTGTGGCCTTCCAAATGCTGTTGGACTCACCACTCCCTGCAAGCCAGCAGGGCCCAACGGTCAAGGGTGTTGGGAGTTGCTAGCTTAGCAAAACCTGGAGGGCCATAGAAGTTCCCTGTCCCTGCCCCAGAGAGCTGCTCTTGCCTTGCTTCACTTTCCCTCCTTGTGCCCTGCTTTCTCATCCAGACCGATCCATGAATATAGCCTTCCTTTTTTTCTCGTTTACCTGCTCTAGCTGTTACAGAGTGTGCCTAAAGAGCATGAGATTGTGAGCCAGGGCGGTGTGGTGGTTTTTCTTTTGGCTGGTCGTATAGAAAGCTGTGATAATTTAGTCCCTTATTGCCATTATTTAATTTTTTTAGCCTTTGCCGAGCGCCGAGAGAGGAGCTTCAGCCGGTCCTGGAGCGACCCCACTCCCATTAAGCCCGAAAACCTCAATGATTCCCGAGAAAGTACGTTCCTTTGTTGTGTCCTCGATGAACCTCCCCTCCCGTTCCCTACCTTCCAAAACCCAAAGGCAAACTGGTTTGGCATGGGCTTAGTCACTGGGCCATCCGTGTGAACAATTCCAACTAACCCTTAGGTTTCCCCAGAATCCTGTTCTGTCTGATTTGCTGTGGGGATTAAGCTGTGATGCTGCTGTCTTAGGGTGTTTAAATTTGCTGGTCTGTGTGTGAGTTGCAGAGGGCGGCCTCTCACAACAGCTAGAATGGAGGTGAGAGAGTGTCTGTCTCTCTGAGCTTCCTTGAAAGCGGGTTCTGCCTGGGGACAGGTAGAGGGTCCCAGGTTCAGGCCCCAGCTCCTCCTATTCAGAATCATGAGAACTGAAGAATAATGATTCAGTGACAGTGTGTCTACTTTGCATTCAAAGGCCCCCAGCAACTCTAGGTTGGGTTGATACACACATTCTTCCTCTAATCCTGGATAGCCACTGCCAGTCAGTGTAGAGAATATTGAGCTAGGTAGGCAGACCAATGGTCTGATGTGTTGTAAGGCAGGCAGCTATGCTCTTATTTGGTAAGGGCTGTAGCTCAGGGGCAGAGGTACCTCGTTCAATCTCTGGCATCTCCAGGTAGGGAACCCGGCAGAGGGCCTTCTCGGTAGTGGCACCTGCCCTGTGGAATGCCCTCCCATTAGATGTCAAGGAAATAAACACCTATCTGACTTTTAGAAGACATCTGAAGGCAGCCCTGTTTAGGGAAGTTTTTTAATATTTGATGTCTTGTCATGCTTTTAATATTCTGTTGGGAACTGCCCAGAGTGGCTGGGGAAACGCAGCCAGATGGGCAGGGTATAAATAATAAAATTATTATGATTGTTGTTGTTATTGTTATTATTAGGGCTTGTAATGTCCCCTGATAGGAAATCCTGGAAGCAGCTGCCAGTCGGTGTAAACAATAATGAGCTAGATGGCCCAATGGAACAGACTGTTTCTATGAGGCCAAGGTTACCTGCACAGCCTGCTTGCATTTTCTTCCCACCTGAGAGCTGAAAAGAGGCTGGAGCTAGATAGGACACCAAAAACAAGCAGCCTTGCCTCTTGTTCTTTGTTCTTTATTTATTAACCCATCCTCCATCTGGGGAACCTTTGATTGTACAGTTGTACAATCCTCATTTTGCGCTGGGGCTACAGAGCGCACATCAACCCATTCTGACTCCACTCCACCCCTTTTCATGACATCTTTATGGTGCTCTGAGGCTACTTCCAGGTTTGGTGCCATGATGTGCAATCGCATATCATTCAGATGCGCCTAAGCCAGGAATTGGCTGTAGTTCATCAACAACTCCCATCATCCTCCCATTCAGTGTTGGCCATGATGACGGGAGCTGATGGCATGCACAGCCCAACAACCTCTGGAGGACCAAAGGCTCCCCAGCCCTGGTATATAGAGATAGCAAAAGGTATCACACATAATATAAGCAAACCACACAATAAAATTATAATAATGCAAAACTTTGCATCAGAGTAAATAGAGACAGCTAAATACAGTATCAATGGCAGCAGAGTAAAACCTTTTTAGATGCTCAGATAGTTCTTCCACTCCTCAATTAATTTCCACAAGTACCCTACAAGGTAGGTGAGCTGGCCCAGGGTCACCTAGTGAGCTTCATGCTTGAGTGTGGGATTTGAACCCTGGTCTCCCGGGTTTTGGTGTGGCACTCTAACCACTGCATCACATTAGCTCTCATTGTGATGATAGCAGTGCCAGTCAGAGTGACAAGGGGAGACCATTCCACCAATGAACCTCTGTGGTATCACCACTTTATTCATTTATAAGATTTCTTACCTGCCTTTCATCCTATGATCCTGGAGTGGCTTGCAATTTTAATACATAGGTATAAAAACAGATCAAAAGAGTTAATAGTGATTTTAAAGAAGTTTGAAACATTCCAACTGGAACAGAACAGTATAAATTCAACTCAAGATTATGGGTTCCTTAAAGCAAAGGAATCTTAGTTGTCAAAGACCAGAGCAAAGAGGTTCATCTTCAGCAAATGGTGAAAGCTCTGTGACAAAGGTTATAATACTTTTATTACTTAATAAATTTATATCCTGCCCAGAAGCCCAGGGCAGCAAACAGATTTAAAGATGAAAACAAAGCAAAACAAAACACATTCTGATTAAAGCATTCTAAAGACAATTACACCTAAAACATTCTAGAAGCAAATAGAATTAAAAACATTCTTTCATCCAGTGATCTTGAAGATACCAGGAACAGTATTCTTCAGCCACCAAACACCTGTGTAGACAGGAATGTTTCAAATCACTCCTGAAAGTTAATAATGCTGGAGACAGATGCCCCTCTCTAAGGGAGGACATTCCACAAAGGGGAAACCATGACTGAAAAGGTCCATTCATATGTCGGTGTCAAATGGGCACATCCAAGATGATGGACACCTCTGTATGGGGAGGGAGTTCCACCACAAGGGAGCTTTCACAGAGAAAGCTCTCACCCATGCCGTCATTCCACATGCTTCTGAGGAGCCCCCTCTAAAGATTAACCCTGCTGTAAGCCCCCTAGGAAGTCCTTGGTATTAGGTAATGTGGCAAAGAAGCAAAGTAAGTGAGACAGGAAGATAAGCATCCTTGAATTCGGTTCAAAGGGGAATGCTCAGCCAACATAACTCTTTCAGAATCTGCTTCCTAAAGGCAGCAACCAGCCTCTGATGTTTTGGTCTCCCCTTTTTTCAGTTTCAACAGCAGGCATCTTCCAGGCTCCATCTTTGATCATCTGTTGGGGCATCTTAATTCCTGGTCTGATCATGTGAGGAAGGAGGCCAATGTGCATGTGGGCCCCTTCTTAACCAGGACACTTTAGAACATTGTATGTGTGTGTTCATGTGCATAAGGACCCCTCTGCAATGCTTCTCCCCCTGTATCTCACAGGCCATGAGCTCCAGGATTCCTGCTGTGCACTTGACAAGGGCGTTGACTTGAACTGGGAGGCAGAGAAAGAGCTTGAGGCTGCAGCCTGCAGCGGGGAAGACTTCATCCCACCCAAGATCATGGTGAGCAATACCCAAAAAGCAGTACGGGCAGCTGCCAAGGGCAGAAGTGGGGAGCGCTCATCAGTACAAGGGCCACATCCCGTCACAGGAAAACTTCTGCGGTCCACATGCCAGCAGACCAAGAGACAAAAGTGGGCAGAGCAATGAAGGAAAAAATTCATTTTTGTACAGTAGGTTGGTTGGTAGACACACTCAGACATGCTCACCTCTCTCTGTCCTCCAGGCAGGCAGGGAGGCAGGCAGGAGGCATGATCTCAGCTAGGCAAAAGCCTTATTCAAGGATACAGCGAAGCAGAGCCAGTGAGGGGTATGAGTTGGGGAGACAAGTGGTTGTGGGGTTGTCCTGTAGAATAAAGAATTAACCAGTTCAGGCCTCCATATATGGGATGTGGCCCTTGTCCACTTGCCCCTGCCACTCCTCCCTGCTGTGCCCATTTTAATTGTCTCTCCTTCTTTCTTTCTCCTTCAATTTCTCCAGCTCATTTCCTCCAAGGTGCCCAAAGCTGAGTATGTTCCGACGATCATCCGCCGGGATGACCAGTCCATTATCCCCATCCTTTATGTAAGTCATAGCACAAGACCTCAATGGTCCATTCCAACTTAGTAATTTTCTGGGGGTTTTTTTTGGTTTTTTTAAAATGATATTTATTAAAATTTCAGAGACAAAAAATTACATAATTAAAGAGAAAAGAAACAAGAGAAAAAATGAAAAAAAGAGAAAAAACATACAAAATACAAAGTACAGAAAAAGAATAAAAAAAACACTTAAAAACAAATTAATCCTTCCGTATCTTACATTTCATTTCCTTGCTTCCCTGACCTCCTCTCACCTCCCTTTTTTGTATTCCAGTTCAGTTGGTTAATTCAGCAATTCCTTTCCCTCTTTGTTTTTGTCTTAGTCCTTTAACTTAATATGTTATAACTTTAGATTCTCACCTATTAACAATCCATTTTTACATACACCTTTATGACATTGCTGCTAAAACCACTTAACTTTATTCTGACATCATTCTAACATTCATTAATTTTGCAATATTTTTGTAAATAGTATTTAAATTTCTTCCAATCTTCTTCCACCGACTCTTCTCCCTGGTCTCGGATTCTGCCAGTCATTTCCGCCAGTTCCATGTAGTCCATCACCTTCATCTGCCATTCTTCCAGACTGGGTAGATCTTGTGTCTTCCAATACTTTGCAATAAGTATTCTTGCTGCTGTTGTGGCATACATAAAGAAAGTTCTATCCTTCTTTAGCACCAATTGGCCGACTATGCCCAGGAGAAAGGCCTCTGGTTTCTTCAAGAAGGTATATTTAAATACCTTTTTCAATTCATTATAGATCATCTCCCAGAAAGCCTTAATCCTTGGGCACGTCCACCAAAGGTGAAAGAATGTACCTTCAGTTTCTTTACATTTCCAACATTTATTATCGGGCAAATGATAGATTTTTGCAAGCTTGACTGGGGTCATGTACCACCTGTATATCATTTTCATAATATTCTTTCTTAAGGCATTACATGCCGTAAATTTCATACCTGTGGTCCATAACTGTTCCCAGTCAGCCATCATTATGTTATGTCCAACATCTTGTGCCCATTTAAATCATAGCAGATTTCACCGTTTCATCCTGAGTATTCCATTTCAACAGCAAGTTATACATCTTTGACAAAATCTTAGTTTTGGGTTCTAACAGTTCTGTTTCTAATTTTGATTTTTCCACCTGGAAGCCAATTTTCTTGTCCGAATTATATGCCTCCATTATCTGATAATAATGAAGCCAATCTCGCACTTTGTTTTTTAGTTTCTCAAAACTCTGCAGTTTCAATCTATCTCCCTCTTGTTCCAGAATTTCCCAATATTTCGGCCATTTGGCCTCCATATTGAGCTTTTTCTGTGCTTTCGCTTCCATCGGTGACAACCACCTTGGGGTTTTATTTTCCAATAAATCCTTATATCTTATCCAGACATTAAACAATGCTTTCCTGACAATATGATTCTTAAATGCTTTATGTGCTTTGACCTTATCATACCACAAATATGCATGCCATCCAAATACATTATTGAAACCTTCTAAGTCCAAAATGTCTGTGTTTTCAAGAAGCAGCCATTCTTTCAGCCAGCCAAAAGCTGCTGATTCATAATAAAGTTTAAGGTCTGGCAGGGCAAATCCACCTCTTTCCTTTGCATCCGTTAATATTTTAAATTTTATTCTGGGCTTCTTGCCCTGCCAGACAAATCTAGAGATATCTCTCTGCCACTTCTTGAAGCAATCCATTTTGTCCAAAATTTGCAATGTTTGAAACAAAAACAACATTCTAGGCAATACATTCATTTTTATTGCAGCAATACGGCCTAGCAGTGAAAGCTTCAAATTTGACCAAATTTCTAAATCTTTTTTCACTTCAGCCCAACATTTTTCATAATTATCTTCAAATAGATTCCCATTTTTAGCTGTCATGTTAATCCCCAGGTATTTCACTTTCTTAACCACTGTTAAACCTGTCTCATTCTGAAACCTCTCTCTCTCAATCGCAGTTAAATTTTTCTCTAAGACCTTTGTTTTTAACTTATTCAGTTTAAATCCTGCTACCTGACCAAATTCTTGAATCAATTCCAAAACCCTTTTAGTACTAGATTCTGGCTCCTGCAATGTCAGTACTAAGTCATCTGCAAATGCTCTCAATTTGTACTGTTTTGCTCCGACTTGTATACCTTTAACCAATTGGTCCCTTCTGATCATATTCAGCAGGACCTCCAGGACCGATATAAAAAGCAATGGGGAGATTGGGCAACCTTGTCGTGTCCCTTTTTCTATCTTGAATTCCTCCGTCAACACATTCTTTACAATTAATTTAGCCTTTTGTTCTGAATATATTGCACTTATACCGTTTTCAAAGCCTTGGCCTACCCCCATACCCTGTAAGTTCCTCTTCATGAAACTCCAAGAAATGTTGTCAAAAGCTTTCTCCGCATCCACAAATATCAAAACTGCCTTAGTATTTATATTCTCTTGTAGTTTTTCTAAAATATTGATTATGTTTCTCACATTATCAGATAGATGTCTACCCGGGAGAAAGCCTGCTTGGTCTTTATGTATCTCTTCCACTAACACTCTTTTTAGTCTTTTAGCCAAGATGTCTGCAAAAATTTTGTAATCCACATTGAGCAGTGATATGGGGCGGTAGTTCTTAAGCTGCGTCTTTTCAGTCTCTGTTTTCGGTACAAGTGTAATGTACGCTTCTTTCCACGACTCTGGTGCCCTTTTCCCACCCATTATTTCGTTACAGACTTCTTTTAAAGGTTGTACTAACCATTCTTTTAAAGATCTGTAGTATCTAGAAGTCAGTCCATCCGATCCTGGAGATTTACCTAGTTGCATATTCTGAATGGCACCTTCTACCTCCTGTTCAGTTATTTTATAGTTCAACATTAATTTATTTTCTTGAGAGATTTTTTGTAATCCATTTGTTTTCAAAAATCGGTCTACGTCAATTTGTTTCTGTGGCCCTTGTGTATATAGTTGTTTAAAGTACCTCTGGAAACAGTTTCTAATCTCAGCTGGGTTCTGTATATTCCTTCCTTCCACTTCTAAATTTGTAACAGTATTTAATTTTTGTCTTTTTTTCATTTGCCAAGCCAACAATTTCCCACATTTATTTGCCGACTCAAATGTCTTTTGTCTCATTTGTTTAATTTTCCATTCTATCTCCTGATTCATCATTTTCATGTATTGTACTTGATATAACTTTATTTCTCTCAAAATCTCTTGCGACTTTGCTTTTGCTCTCAATTTCTTTTCACTTTCCTTTATTTTCTCCAATATTTTATCCTTCTTCTCATTTTGGATTCTCTTCTTTAATGCATTCTGTTGTATCAAGAACCCTCTCATAACAGCTTTGCTTGCGTCCCAGATTACAATTTAGTAATTTTCTGAAGTGGCATCACTTCGCCAAGTGCTAGAAAGCATATATTGAGGAATTCCCTCCCAAGGGAGGTTAGTCTGTCAGAAAGGTCTTTGGAACCTAAGGAGCAGGGAATGCTGATCACTGGGCTGCTGTCAGGGCAAACCATGACAAATTGCTGGTTCCAAATGTGTTCTGATGTATTTTAACCATTGTTTTCAATTAGTTTGGTTGTGTCGCTTTGCATTTTATAATGTTGCGTTTAAATGTTGTAAGCTGCGTTGAATTCCAACTTGGGAGAAAGGTGGGTTATAAATCCATCAAATAACAACAACAACAACAACAACAACAATAATAATAAAAAAAAAAAAAATCTCTTTTAGGGAGATTCCCGGTAAAGCTAAACCAATCATCTGCACTCTATGCTGATTCTATTATTATAACATTTTATCACGCTGTTCTATGTTATTTGAATCTCCATGCTGTTGGCTGTTTCTGAGTTCTATTTTGGGTGGAGAGTGGGATAGAAGTATCTCAAATCCATAAATAAATTGTAGGCAGAAGATTGGTGGAAGATCACATTAAATGTGGGCATTGACTGATAGTTTATGGGAGAACTTGGCCAGTACAGTGGTTGTTTTTCTTCTCTTCCTGGGTTATTCCCATGTGACAGAGGTTGGAAACGTTATCTGTAAAGAAGAGTCTGTGCTGTTATTAATAAATAAATAATATTCCATCAGTGGCATGTTACAGCATAGCACGAGCAAATATAATAATAATAATAATAATAATAATAATAATAATAATAATAATAGCAGGGCATGCTCAAAAATCAACTCTTTTTTGGCTCTATACCAGAGGTAGCTTAAATAATAATAATAATAATAATAATAGTAGTGGTAGTAGTAATAATTTTATTATTTGTATCCCACTCATCTGACTAGCCACTTGGATGGTTTTAAAAGAGGATTGGATAAATTCATGGAAGAAAATGCCATCAATGGCTGCTAGCTACAAGAGCTTCTGAATACTAGTTGCTGGAAATCAGAGGAAGGGAGAGCGCTGCTGTGCTCAGGTCCTACTTATGGGTTTCTGGTTAGCCACTGTGGGATCAGAATGCCGCACCAGACGGGCCATTAGCCTGATCCAGCAGGCCCCTTCTTATGTTCCAACTCGTTTAAAAAGTTAGTATCACTTTTTTCTGCCTAGCACAATGCGCTTTGTGCCTTTCTGATGGATTAAAATGTGGTGTGTTTTTAAAATAAAAAAGCAATGCCTCTCTGTTTGTTTGCTTCCAGGATCACGAGCATGCCACCTTTGATGATATTTTGGGTACGTGAGTGTTTGGCAATTAAGCTGAATTGAACGGGACTGGGACTGGTGGGTGGGTGGGTGACATTGTGTCCTAAGACAAATGGCTGGAACCTTTGCTTCACTGTTGGTTCTGAATGCAAGACAAAGGTTTCTTCACACCCCACTGGCTCCAAAGGAAGCTCATCTCTAGAGAAAAGGGGAAGGGCAGGGGTGCCTTTTGCTGGCCTCCTTCTAATCTTCTTTATACAGTACCACTGTATAAAGTAATGCAAAGCAAAATAGAAAACCGTAGCAGTCAAATTACTAGTAAATACATTGTGCTATAAAATGCTGGGTGCAAAAATATATATGAAATTATAAGTTTGTTAAAATTAATTCCTGGCAAGTTTTACATGCAGGAGAACATTAGTCTCCCTTGAAGAGGTGAATGGATACGTTCTGATCTGGAAGCATAAGATGCATCTGATCATCCTGGCAATTTCTGTAAAAGGTGTTTGGTAAAAAATCTTAGGTATATCATGATAAAAAGAACTCTGCTTAAGAACTCACGTTATTAATTTTACCTCTACAGATTTGCAGTGGTATTTATGCTGACAATAGCAGAGGTTTTTTTTTAACCTCCCCTCCAGACCTGCTGACGGGAAAACATTTAAATGCACCACAGTAAATGTTTTACTTCACGCAGCACATAGTTAAACTATGGAACTCACTGCCACAGGAAGCAGTGGTAGCCACCAACCTAGATGTATTTAAAAGAGAACTGGACAGATTCATGGAGAAGAAGGCTATCAGTGGCCATTAGCCATGATGGCTTTGCTTTGCCTCCACTGCCAAAGGCAGCAATTATTCAGAATACCTGTTGCTGGAACTTACAGGAGGGTAGAATGCTGCTCTTGTGCCCAGGTCCTGCTTTTGGGCTTCCTAATGGGGCATCTGGTTGGCCACTGTGGGAATAGGATGCTGGACTAGATGGGCCATTGGCCTGATGCAGTAGGACTGCCCTTAAGTTCTTATGGATCAGTCCTTTGATTCCACCTTGATGGTGATCTCTGCCTTTTCCTTCGTGCTGTACATGTCTCATATACCCTTCTCTTCCCTCCCTGCCACCCCACCTGCCCCTTCCCTTTCTTCCATAGAGGAAATTGAGAAGAAGCTGAACATCTACCGGAAGGGCTGCAAAATCTGGAAGATGCTGATTTTTTGTCAGGTATATAAATGCCCCCTGGTCGTTCCTTTCCTTGGATTCACTTACCACTGTCTCGTTCACAACTTTCCCCCAGCCCTTCCCCCTAATGGCTTGTTCTCAAGAAGCTGGACTGAAGAAGTCCTTTCAGCCCGAGGGCCAGATTTCCTTCTGGGCAGCCTTCTGAGGGCCACATGACAGTGGTAGGCTGGGCCAGTGGCAAATGTGGGTGGAGCAATGAATGACAATTTTGCTTTGTACAGTAGGCTAGTTTTCTACAGAGATTAACATACACACACTCCTTTCTGCCCTCCATCAGGGCAGGCAAAAGGCGTGAACAGGGTTCAAGGACACATTGCAGCCAGGCAAACACACTCAGGGGAGGGGGCAGTGAGGGGTGTGGCCTAGAGAGAGTTCTGAGGGCCAGATGGGGCGGATGGAGGGCTGCATTCATCCCCCTGGGCTTGAGGTCCCCCATCCCATCATAAACTCCTCTCTCTGCTTCACCCTCCCAATTTTTGAGAGATGCTAGACTGCACAGCACCATCTTCCAAGTCTGTTCCCTCCCCTTGGCAACCACCAACAGCAGATTTTTTCCTGGAGCCTCCATTTTTGTTGGTGCTGATTCATGAAGGAGGTTGGAAAGTCTATACTTAACCCCCACCGGGCTGCCACCTCCAAAGGCCTAGAAAATGTGTCATGTTTCTTAAGCACTCTGGCTTAATCAGGACCGGCTATTCTCATTATTATCTTCTAAATGTCAAAGCCCTTGTTTGTGTGTTGCCTGGTCCACCTCCTTATCCTTTTTCAATTGTACGTTGTTGAAATTTCCAAAACAAAGCAGAGTACACAAAAGGCCTGGAGTTTTCACATTTCCACCCCATCAGACACACGCCCAATACCTGTGGGTGTTCTCTTGTTCAGCAATACCTTCTTCTCTGGGCGTATTTGGAGTTTTATTGGTCCGCATTCACACTGTACATTTAAAGCACAATGATACCACTTTGAACAGTCATGGCTTTCCACAAAGGATTCTGGGAGCTAGAGCTAATTAAGTGTGCTGAGCCTTGTTAGGAGACCTCTTGCTTCCCTCACAGAGCTACTGTTCCTGAAGTGGTTTTACAATCAGCCCCACTTCCTGGGGAATGTCAACTTTTCCGCTGAATTTTTTTGCAATATAGAGATCTGTTAAAATGTAATCAATGAAGGCTGTAACATGGGGTGCACTTTCAAGTAAGTGAACCCTGCTGAACTCAAGCGGGGCTTGTTTCTGCGTAAACATTAGCAGGATTTCAGTGTTAAATCACTGGAAAGCAAGGCTGTTAAGAATGATAGTTGACTGTATGTTTTTTTAATTGATTAATTTGCACGTTCAAACAAAAGTTCTAAAGCAACAGACACGCTTCCTTTGCCTTTTGAGGATGCAAGCAGCAGCTTAGTAGAGGTGTTTTCTCTTATGTGAGAGAGCGGGGGAAGCCTCTTCTAAGACTGCATTTGCACCATGCCATTAAAGCTCTATGATACCACTTTCAATTGTCATCACTCCCCCCCCCCCCCGGAAAGAATTTTGGGAGCTCTAGTTTGTCCAGGGTGCTGGGAGTTGTTAGGAAACTCCAGTTTCCCTCACAGAGCTACAATTCCTAGAGTGGTTTAACAATCAGTGCTTCCCAGAGAACTCTGGGAATTGCAGCTCTGTGAAGAGAACAGGAGGTCTCCTATTCAGCTTTTAGTAGGGTGGGGGGAGGTAGGATTTGTCCTTTGTAATCCACTGAAAAATGAATACTTTTAATAATTAATGGTTCTTTTATTTACTTGTTTGATGCATGTTAAGTTTTGCATTATGTATGTTTTTATAATGGTAGCTCACTCTGAGATGTTTTTGTTGTAACAGCAAATAAATGTAATGAATAATAAGTGTCTCCCATTAGGTGAAGTTGGCCAAATAATAAAGGAAAAGCAGTAACTGCAATAGCTCTACTGCAGCACGCACAGGCTGTTTCTCCAGACTCTGCCTCTTTTCCCCCTGCAGGGCGGTCCAGGCCACTTGTACCTTCTGAAGAATAAAGTTGCCACCTTTGCAAAAGTGGAGAAGGAGGAAGACATGATCTAGTGAGTGAGAGGATCCTGGGCTTTTTGCTTGTTTCTCATTTGGGAGCCACAGCTACGTGTATCCTGCATGTATGGAACTTTGGACTAAAGTTTCAACATCTCAGCATTCGCTGTGTACTGTACTGAGACCAACTGGTATAGGGCAGCATATAAATTCCAATAATAACAACAATAGAGTTTCCAGTTCTTAGGACTGCAGAAAATTGCCCGTCCATTTTGGCTGTCCGAAATCTCTACATGTGCACAGCAATTGTGCAGGGTTTTGCATAGAATTTGGAATCTGGAGAAGCTTCCAGATTGTTGTTGATTGGGAGAAAGCAAGCTTTCATGACCTCCAATAGAACTCTCCCCTCCTGAGTAGCAAAATAGAATTGTAGAGCTGGAAGGGAATCCAAGGATCACCTAGAACAACCTGCTGCAGCACATTAAACAGCATAAAATAAATAAGCAAATACATTCATGTTTGTGGGATTTATGTATGGATCGCTGCATTCAGATCTCTCTGGTGCAAAATCTGGGATGTGTTGGCCCAGAATCAATCAGCCTTTGCTGACTGTCTTACATGGTTTTTGTCCTACCCTTCAAACACATTTATTTATTTAAAATCTTTCTACCCCACTCTTCTCCATAGAAGATGATCCCAGAGCGAGCTACAGATTGATTGCCCATAAAATAAAACTCATTGCCAATAAAAATACATAGCCAACAAAAAAACACCAAGTAACACATCAATACTAAAATCATAACAGCACGACTGAGCAAACCTCAAAGCAGCAAGCATGGAGGCCAATGAATCACTCACAGGCCCAAGTGAATAATTAAGCCTTTATTTATTGGTGCTGAAAGAGCAGGCACCAATCAGTTCTGGGATGGAGCACTTGGGAGACAACAGTAGCTCAGTGAGCTTTGTAGAGGTTTGAACCCAGGTGGCTTAGCCAGTGGTGGAGCTTCATGCTCCGGCACCAGGGGCAGAGAACAGGTGGGAGTGTGGCTGGCGAATGTCCCGGGGGGGCGTGGTGCGCGTCCTGGGGGTGTGGCACCCAGTGGGGGGGGGGTTAGCCGTGATGGCACCCTACCAGGATCGTGATGCCGGGGGCGGTACGCCCCCCCTGCCCCCCTCTTCCTCCGCCAATGGGCTTAGCCTGACAATCTAATCACTACACCACATTGCCTCTCTGTTATATGCCAAAGCTTGACGTTACCTGGGGGATGAGATAAGGGAAGGTTAGCATCAATCTGTGCTGCTTGGGGCTGTTGGGAGTTGTAGTCCAAAGTGCCTGGAGGATGCCAGCTGGCCAAAGGCTGGCGCAACTAGTGGGTAAAGACTTCAGCAGACCAGGCACCAGTGAATGATCTGCAAAAGTGGCCATGGGAGGGAAACAACTGTTTGCATTCAGAGGTGAAACAGTGGGTTAAAACAGGGGTTCCCAAATTCCACTGGGTGGGTAGTGGAATTACTAAGAGGCAAGGGGTTGGAAGGGGAATGCTGACGGTGTAAATGACTATCAAACTTTGAAAAGCTGGTGTCACTGGATCAAGTTCATCAATTTTGTTGAATTAATTAAACTAGATAGTTTTCATTGGATTTTGAATAAACGTGCAATTAATTGCTGCTGTTTAGGATTTTTTTGTTGTTATTATTTTCCTGAGTGGGTTCTGAATCACTGGGATAAGGCATGGGTGGGGAAACCATTTTGATTCAGTGAGCCAGATATTGATATCCTGCCACCCCAGCAGACCAGCTTTGACCGCTCACCTGACATCACTCTGGTGCCAGGTGGGTGGTCCTTTGCACCTGTCAATAGAGTTGACCCACTGGGGGAGGCAGGGGAAATACCACACAAAGTGGGACTGAACTCCCCACCAATCCTGCTTTGCATGAACATTATTGAAAGTGGGAACACGTATAACTGCCCCAATACCAACATAAACACAAATCATTGTGAACACACCATAAAAAAGGAGGGCTCCCAAAACAGACTGCCCACACATGTTTTTGGTCATAGAATTGTCCAACCCTCTGCAATGCAGGAATCTCAGCTAAAGCTTAAAAACCTCCAAGGAAGGAAAGTCCACAACCTCTCAAGGAAGGTTTCAGTCTGTTTTGTGTTGGTGGTGGGTGTCTCTGAGCCCAGGCATGGTGGGGGCAAGTTCCATTCGCCTGCACTTTACGCATTAGGCAACCAGCCAGCCAGGAAAGGTCATGTGGCAATTGACAGGACCCCTCTGTGACTAACGGGTTCTTCCATCTTCTCCCCCCCCCCCCCAGTTTCTGGAAGCGGCTGGGCCACCTGATGAGCAAGCTGAACCCGGAGCCAAACGTCATTCACATAATGGGGTGCTACGTGCTTGGGAACCACAATGGAGAGAAGGTAAGGCCTATCGTCTTGTTCCCCAGAGAGGCTCCAGGTGGCTCCAGCAAGGCGTTGGGGAACCTATTTCAACTTCTGAGGGCCACGTTTCACTGTGAGAAACCCACAGGCCAGTGGTGGGCGGGACCAAAGGAAAAAGTGGGTGGGGCAATGGATGTGATTTGTACCTCTGAACAGTAAGCCTTATCCCAGCTATGCAAATCAGTTACTACATGTGCACACACATGCACACCCCCTATTCCATCCTCCCTTCAAAGCAAGCAAGAAGCATGACGATAAGTTTACAACAGTTTACATCCCAGATAGGCAAGAGTTTCCATGGAGCGTGCAGGCCAGGCCTGGTGGGAAGTGGGCATGTCCAGGGAGAGTTCCAAGAGCCAGATAGATAACTCTAGAGGGCTGCTCTAGCAGTTCTGGTCCAGCTCTGTCCTCTGTGCTGTTCTTTTCTGGAGATAACTTCTCAAAGTCTTGCTGTCTCTGATATCACAGTAGTGAAACATACTGGGTAGTGCGGAAGAGCCATAGCTCAACAGCAGAGCATCTGCTTTGCATGCAGAAGGTCCTAGGTTCAATCTCCAATGGCATCTCTTGGTAGTGCTAGGAAACGCCTTAAACCCTGCTGACAGTCAGTGTAGACCATACTGGGCTAGATGGGCTGGTGGCCTGGCTTAGTATAAGGCAGATTCCTGTGCTCCACCAGCCGTGGGCCCTGACAAGATGCTGTGCAATTGGCAGCTGCCCAAGGCTGCCAACTGCAAACAGTGACCCTGGCCAGAAATCAGTGATTGTGAAGCTCCTTTGCCTTTCAGCTGTTCCAAAATCTGAAGAATCTGATGAACCCCTGTCGGGTTACTTTTGAATCTCCTCTCGAACTCTCTGCTCAAGGTAGGTTGCTCTGTGGCTTGGTGTGGGGGCTGATTCGCTCATCGTTGAACTTTTCTGGGAATTGTAGCTCATTGAAGACAAATAGGGAATCTCCCTAACAGTTCTCAGCACCTTTAACAAACTACAGTTCCCAGGATTCTTTGGGGGAAAACCATAACTGTTTAAAGTGGCATAGCAGAGCTACAAATGTTTAGTTTGCAGATGGGGCCATGAAATGTGAACTCCAAGGGGTTACACCAACATAGTTTCCATAGACGTTGACCTAACCTTGCTACGTGGTGTTGACTCAGCCTTCTCTATGTTGTGTTTCCAGGGAAGCAAATGATCGAGACTTACTTTGATTTCCGCCTTTACCGCCTCTGGAAGACCCGCCAGCACTCCAAGCTTTTGGATTACGATGACATCTTGTGAGCCAAGCAAGCGGTGGCTGAGAGTGGGTTGGTTTTATTGGAGTCCCAAGTGTCGTGCAGAGGGAAAGAGAGAGACCTTTTCGCAGGCACAGGGGAGGCCTTAGGCGCCCCGTCAGGGGTGGTAGTTTGTGCTGCAGAGCAAAACAGGAGTGTTGTCGGAACGTCGGGAGACTTGGAGCGTGCAGCCTGCTTACCTGGAGTGCAGTGTCTGATGGAGGGAGCGCTGCTGGAACAGGACAGGATAGGAATATCCTCATGGAACTGAGCTGATTTTTTGATCACGAAGGGCCAAACTCCATTGCAGGTCCTTTTTAAACAGACATTCCAAGCTCAGGTTTTCTTAACTACAAAAACTCAACTGATCATCTTTTATCCCCCCCCCTTCTTCTTGTGCTACCAGAATGGGGGAAGCATCGCCTGTGTGCAATGCCTTGTGGTTTCATGTGCGGATGTTGCCTCTTCTTTCACAGGCAAAGGAACACCATGCTCAACCCTGCGTGCTTTTGAGATGTGAGGTCCGAAATGGTCTGAAATGGATTAAAGGAAGTTCAGGCTTTAAAATCTTGTCCATTTTAATAGGATATATATACATATATATGTGTTTGTGCGTGTGTGTACACACACACACGCACACACACACTTTTTTATATGAATAGAGGGAATATTTAATTAGCTAATGCTGTAAACACACATCAGTAACTAATAGATGAGATATTTTTGGTCTGCTTGAAAATATATTTGAAATAGGAATATATCTTCTGTAGACATATATATATATATATGTAATCACCAGCAGGATGGTTTTCTCACACGCTTTTTTCCTGCAGACCTGCATGTCTGCTGTTACTTGGTTTCCAGGTTAGCTGTGGAGGGACACTTTTCAGCTGTGGGCTCTCTTAAGAGGGTCAAGGTGTCCTTTCAAGCAAATTTCTGATTTGCAGCTTGGCGAAATGTTCTTTTGCCAGCCGTTTTTTTTCCTTTAGATATACAACAACATGGCCGAGAAGGATCTTGGTCTGTTTCCGCAAGTAGATATATTGCAAACTAGAAATGAATAGCCATCTTTCGAAAGACTCTCTCTTGCTGCACTTAACCTAGTTGTTTGGGTTTTTTCTCTCTCTGAAAGATGGCTGCTGTATAAGGAATCGGGGAAATGTCTGCTAGAACAGCTTAGTTACAGAGGGAATGTCATCTGCTTGTGTATGGTTCAGAATTTCAACATAGGGATATGGTTTCCCTTTCTCCCCTCCCCCTTCTTTTGCACAGAGAAGGGAATTTGCTGGTAGCAAACTGGCTCTTACCACATACTGGGCTTGTCTATTATCTGTGATTGATCGTAGTTTGGATGATCCAGACCTGTGCTTATTTACCTTTTGGAAGAAGTGCTGTGACATAGCCACGTTTTAGGTTTTTTGTGGTCCTCCTACCTGTTCAGGTGATATGAATACCTGAGGAACCTGCACTTTGTGACAAAGGTGTAGTCTCCCTGGTTATTTTGGGTGGAATTTCCTGGTCTTTCTTCTTTCCATGAAGCGAAGTACTTTGGAAGCACTCAGTTGGCCTCGCCTGTTTTTCTTAGTTTCTAAGAAGATTGTGAAGTGAAAACAAGTATATATGCACTATAAATCTTTCTTGTGGTAAAATGAAAACCCCACTTTAACAAGTCCACCACCCCATGTTCTCCATTGTTGTGATGGTCTCCATGCACCCTTGCTATCTGTACCATTGCCAGGGCAGATGACGGAACTGCAACCCCGATTGTCTGCCCATATTAATGCTACAAAAGCTGTTCTTAGAAGCGGCGTTAACGAGAGCATCCCAGGTAGCAAGAGAGTGCTGCTGTAAAATCCACACTGTTCAAATGGCAATGGGTGTTTTAGATTTTGGAATTTTCCTGTTTCAATCATAAAGAATTTTTTTAATATGTTTCTTTAAAAAAACAAAACCTGAAGGGTTTTTTTGTTGTTTTTGTTTTTGTAAATCTGTACAGCAACTGTATTCTACAACCTGTCATTTTATCTGTCAATGGCAATCCTTCGTTGAGAACCGCACACAGGAGAACATAAATTTCAATATTGCACTGGGGGAAAAGATCCAAGTGGGGGATTTGTGGATCTTTGTGTGTGTGTGCGCCCCCCCCAAAAAAACCTAATCATCAAAAGATCTGAAGCTAAAGCGGAAAAGTAGTTGGAAATAACTATTCAAGAACAAAAGTTAGACAGTTTAGGAAAAACATTAACTCAAGACTGTTTAACCCACACAGTTGGCTCATTGCTGTTTGTTATGCAAAGCAGGGGACAAGGCTTTGATTCTATTTTTTGCTTTTCACAGACACTGTCGAGCAAATACTTAATTAAGCAAAGGACTATTTTTTCTTTTAAAGGTGTGAGGGGGTGGGGAGTGGGAAGGTTTTACCATCTTAGCTGTGCCACTAGGGGGCAACCAAACACTTCTTCCCTAGCACAAAGCCTCTGCGTAGAGGTGCGGGTAGTGGCAGCAGTTTGGTGGGATGGGGACCGCTTCATACATGATGCTTTTCACACATAGGAAATCTCAGCATGAGAGAAAGCTGAGTGCAGAACCTGCGTTGTGCTGTATGTTGCAGATCAGGCAGCCAGCATGGCATCTGCCTGGTCCATAAACTTTTTTTGGCACAAGGAAATCACACTTAAAGAACAGGGAAACAGAATAAAGGTCTGTCAGATCCAGCAGTCAATCTCCCAGCAACCACCTCTTGAATGGCCCTGCAGAGAAGCTCGTAAGCGGAGTGTACAATGGAGGTGGCAGCCACTGCAACTTCACCTCTAGTATCCAAATATCTATGGTAGACTGCTTGCAAACATGGAGGCTCTGTTTTTAGTCCTTGTGGCTGATAACCACTGATAGACTTGGCCTCCATAAATCTGTCTAGGTCAGGGTGGTCCACGTGGGCTGCAAGGGCACTTTGACACAGAACTCACAGGCCACACACTGCCCTTGCCATACAGAGCGGTGAGGAGGCCAAAATTTGACACACACACACCCCTTAGCATTTGCACTGCCTTCCCAAAGATGGCTAACTGGGGGGTCCTAGAGCTGGGGAAGCACTTACTAGGCTTTGGGAAGGAGGCAGGAGAACTCTAGTACCCTGTCAGAGTAGTCATACTTCCTACCCAAAGCTGGGTGGGCTTTGGGAAGGTAGCAGAAGACTGGCAGGGGGAGCATTGAATGTTGCCATAGGCCACCCAGAAAGGCAGACCACACTTTGGACCATCCTTGTCCAGCAGCGGAGCAAGCCGATAAGTTGCCTGGGGCGGTGCCCCGGGGCGGTGCGAGCTGGGACAGGACCTCAGAGGAGCTGGGGCCTCAGAGGAGTCTGCCTGCCTCCTCCCACTCAGCCGCCCTACAGCTGGGGGGGAGGCAGTGGGTGGACTGTTTGGGGCAGAGTGGAGCCTGCGGGCACCCAAGCCACTGCGTCACTCCCAGGAGAGATGTGTGGCTTGGGCGCGCTGCAGGCCCCACTGTGAGTGCCGCCCAGTATTTTGTCACCCCTCTCTGGTGACACCCGGGGCAACCCGCCCCCACTGCAGCCCCGATCCTCCACCCCTGCCCTGGTCTAGTTCCTTTTAAAAAAAAAAAAAGCCCTAACTTCTAGCTGTTTCCAGCTTCATGTGACAGTTGTATGTTCTGATTTCCCAGATCTTAATGTAGGGGAGAGTTGTGAGCGTGTAACAATCCTTAGAGATGCCTGCACTCTCTCTCTCTCTCTCTCTCTCTCTCTCTCTCTCTCTCTCTCTCTCTCTCTCTCTCTGTGTGTGTTGTAGAGTTATGCCATTGGAAGGGTCTTGTCAGAGCCAATGCTTTTCTTTGAGAACCACCCAGGAGAGGGATGCATTGATATCCCTCCCTGAGTACCTTGTTCTATCCATGAACCTCTACTCTTATTTGCGGTAAGAAAGTGTTTCCTTATGTTGTAACCAGATCTACCTCCCTGTAGTTCAAAGCCATCGGCTCGTCATTTTCTTGGAGGATGTGGTGAACAGACACTCCTCATTTCTGCCAGTCTCTTACATAGCCCTACTTTTAACACTTTGTCCCTTCAAACGTGCTCACCCACTTCAAGCTTTCCTTGATCCAGTTTGCCTTCTACAAAAGATCCCTTTGCAATCTATCGGTCAGCATATCCTTCCTGAAGTCTGTGAATCTGGGGCCAAATTCAGTATTCCTCACCCCAAAAATTCTTCCTACTGGCACTCTTTTTTTAGACCTCCTTTTGGCCACTGCACACTGGAAGCATTTTGTTAAAAAGGATGGGAGCAGGGTTCTAGCCCTCGAGGATGGGATGATAAGGCTGCAACTTCTCAGGCAGTGCTCAGTGATTAAAACTGGAGGTAGAGGTGGTTTTTCAGGCCATGTGGTCTCCTTGCATAGCTTTTGTTCCCCTTTGTGTGCAGTGAAAACAGGATGCTGTAAAATACAAACACTGAGAAACAGTACATCATCCACGTGGTTTGCAAAATTCAGCTTTCCTTGAACAGAATACAATGTCACTTCTTTGCAGAACTGATTTTTATTTAATGAATGTAAAGTTCAAAAACAAGTCTGTTGATTGATGGTGTGAGAAGCCACAACAGCACCATTTAAACACTCCCATGTTTACAGGACAATTTGCCATGAACCCTGAATTGAAAATAGTAAGCGGCCTTATGCTGTGTCAGATCATAGATCCATCCAGCTCAGTATTGTCTATGCCAGTCTTTCTCAACCTTGGGTCCCAGATGCTGTTGGACTACAACTTCCATCATCACTGGCCCTGTTAACTAGGGATGATGGGAGTTGTAGTCCAACAACTTCTGGGGACCTCGGGAAGGGAAAAGCTATACTGACTGGCAGTGGCTCTCTAGGGTTTCAGACAGAGTCTTTTCCAGCCCTTGGAGATGCTGGGGATTGAATTTGGAACCTTTTTGCATGCAAGGCAGATGTTCTAGGACTGAGCTACCACCCTTTCCCAAAAGTATTGTCCTGCCCATGCATCTTTTTCAGATGCACCACTGCCTGATCTATGATCCCTTTCAGTACTTGTTACTCATTTAAATATAATCTTTACAGAACATAAAATGCCTGCAAATCTTCAATCATTGATGCAAAGAACTAATTCTTTTTGCTTCAGAATAAATACTTAGAGCCCCACACTATGCATTTGAATATTCCATGAAAGACATTCCCTTTAGTGAAAAGAGAAGCAAGGCAAATCAGAAGGTCTCTGAGAAGTCAGGTCTTTAGCTGCCTCCTTCCACTCTGCACAATAAAGTGGCATTGGTGGACTTCCTTGTGCAGGGAATGCTATGGAAATATGAGAGCTCATATAAGGAGAAGCTGTTACTAGGTAGGGTACTTTCTTATTTTAAAAGTCATGCTTTCTCTTGTGATGCAGTTTCAGCACCACCACCCCGCATGACATGAATCTGGTACAACCACCATAATTCTTGTGGGTTTTTAGTACCAGCAGTGGTCAATTTGGAGCACCATATGGACATAGGGCTGATGGGGATACCTCCTGTCATCTTCTGGGAGGACTTTGGTAAATCTACAGTAGCCCCATTCACTGCAGTGCTCCTGGGCTTTCTCTGAAATTCCCTCTTAGCAAGGCAGAACAAAATTTTATATTGCACAACTGCCTCTTAATGTAAACCAAGCAAAATCAGAATGTTCTGGGAAAGAGATTGGTGTCCAACCATTGCTTCCCAATTCTTTGCTCCTGCAAAAAATATACATAAGTAACACCCCAGCTTAAGTCAGACCACTGGTCTGCCTAATTCTGAATGTCCTCAGTTTCCCAAGTTTCTCAAGCAGTTCTATTGCTGAAAATGCCAGGAACTGAATTTGGGATCTTTGGCATAGGAAGGTGTTTTCCTCACTGAGCTATAACAAATCACCATTCAATACAATCAACTGCATTCTTCCCAATGCCCCATTGTGGTTCTGCGCTTCAGTTCTAGAAGTCCCCAAGCAGAAGGTGGCCTCAATGTGGACACAATTCTGTTTGGACACCATGTACCTCAGTTTTTGAGCTTCTGGCATGGAAAAATCGTGTACGGCAAGGAGTGCACTGCATTCTAAAGCCATGAACCTCTGAATTTTGTCCCAAACCTAATCCTTTAAGAAAAAATTTAAATGAAATAACTGATTAGCTGACAAGGTGGCATTTTATCCTCACTTCATTGCTCATTACAATTGGCAATTTGTACTGTTCACTGAAGACCAGGACTGCACTGGGGTTGCATTAGAACTTACCTATTCCAGTATACAGCAATAACACATCAGGTGGGTCTCCTGTGACAATAACCCCATTCCTTCTGGCCCTTGGTCTTCTCCAAGGAAGTCCATTTTGTGAGCCCCATGCCATGTATTACCATCTTGATCTCCGGGATCATTCTCTCTGTTGAGCATAAATAGCATCCTGGCTCCGATGCAACTATGAGCCTCAAGCTTTGGACAGGGGAAATATTACATTTGGCCAGATTCCTAGACTTTTGGATGGGCATGTGTCAAATTCTGTGGTTACTGTTAGCTTGTTTTGCAGCCTTGCCATTTTTTTGGTGCAAAAAGGGATGATTGGGTTGGTCTGAGCATCTATAGTGCTCTCCACAGTGGGCTGTAGAGTGACACTGAGGCCTGGGATAGAAAAAAGATGCTATATGTCAAGGGCATTTCACCAATATGACAGTTAGCTAAATGTCTTCACAATGTCCCAATTTGGAGGGTAACTAGAAAGTTGGCTTGATGCAAACTAGTGGCACTGATAGACATGGTCTTATCACGAAGGACGCTGTGTTGGTGAATAGATACAGTTTTTGTTTTTGTTTTTCACAAACAAGTGGATAGTATTACCTGTCCTGCACAATCTGAAGGAGATATTTGTTGACTGGGGGAGGCATACAGAAGACATTCAGTGTGGTGTAGTGCTCAGCACTGCAGGTAATGACCAGGGAGTCCCTCATTCAAATTCTCACTTGGCTATGAAACTTATTGAATGACCTTAACTCAGCCTAACCTACCTCACAGGGTTGTTGTGAGGATTAAATTGTGTGCTTAAGGGCAGAAGAACCTTGGGTGCTGCTTAGAGTTTTGTTTTTAGAAAGGGCCATATAAAAATGTAACATAAATACAGAAGAGGAAAGCAAGCTCTAGCTTCTTGTGTCTAATTCCCCCAGTGAGAGAGATATTTGGAACATCACAGATGAAGCTCCTGAAACTGGAAAGCTTTTGAGTGTTGGAACTGGGCTGCTTTTTAGTTTTCTGTTATGCTTTTGGTAAAAGACACAGGCTGTGATACAGTTAAAGGACAGAGAACGAACTCTGCATTTAGGAATCGCTACTTTCAACACAGCTGCTTCCATTGCAGAAGAAACTTGCCTCCTCTGCAGTGGGAGATGCTAAAACAGAAGTGCAAGGGTAGACAGCAGGGTGCCCTCCTTTTCTTGTTTGACCACAACACCCATCAGTCCCTCCCATCATGGCCTGTGGTCAGGATGGTGAGAGCTGCCTCCCATAGCATTATGTGCAGTTCTCTCTGTAGCAGCTGCCGACCTCAGGAGTATAGGGTGAGGTATGTGAGCATAAGAATTATCTTGTTGGTTTCCACCAAGGCCAATAGGTTGTATCCAATGTAGCGCTGAATTAAAATCACTTAGCAGTATACTTGTCTCTGCTACTGAAATGTTTTGCACCAGTGTAACATAGTTGTGCAAGAGGCATAAGTAGGTTGCTCACCTCTCCACTACAGCCTTGGCGCTAGCAGGCAGCGAATGTTGGATACAACTGGAGCTTTGCTTTCAGTCCCTGGCTCCATCTGATTTACCACTGTTGGGAAGAAGAGGCTGGGACCCTGGTGTGATCCAGCAACACAGTTCTTAGTTCCTAAACCTCCTTCATTGTCCTTAAGTAGTTTTAAGGCTGGACTTGTTGATTCATCACCGTGCAGGTGGTCTTTCACCTCCCACCTCTTCAAGCTGGGCTTCTCATCTCCTGTCTCACTCACCTGTATTCAATTATCATTTCCGAAATAAATGGAAGTTTCTAGGTTTTCAGATGTGATTTAATAAAAAGAACCCTTGGGGATGACTGACATTTGGTGTCCTTTGTTCTTTTCACTACACATACCTTGTTTGCTATGCACCTTGTTTATCAACCACCCTCTGCATTGTTCCCATTATACAGGAATTTAGGAGACTCATGTTTTCATTATACGGAACACAATTTACTTATTTGGAACATACAGAGTCAGTGTAGTGGTAAGAATGTTAGACTGGGACCTGGAAGACCAGGGTTCAGATTCCCCACTGGGTTGTTGTGAGGATAACATAGGAAGGAGGAGAACCCTGGGTAACACCTTGAGCCCTTTGAAGAAAAAGTGGGCTATAAGCATAATAAGATTTTAATGAAAAAGCTATGTTGGTCAACTTTTCAATCTGTTAAAGCAACTCACAGGAGGATAGTATGATGATATAATTTGCAAGTGCGGACCTATGTTTTGGTTTTGTTGAGAGCAAAGCATCTTCAAGTCCATGTTGAAGCATCTTTCTGGGCATTATGTGTTTCCAGGATCCAAACTGGTTCTGCCTACCTGAGCATGCTATTGGGTGTTTCTAGACAGGAGGGTTTCCTGTTTGGCCTGGGGCTTTGCACGCACAGCAATAGTCTTCCTGGCAAGGGTAACCAACATGGTCCCTCCAAAATTGGTGGACTCCAGCTGCCATCAGTCCCAGCTGACCAATGGTGAGGAATGATGAGTCATCCAGCAACAGCAGGAGGCCATCATATTAGTGACCCCTTCTCTAGTGTATTTGTTTGCTTCTGACTTCATTGTTCCTGCCTTCTAGCATCCCTCAGTTGCCAACAACTTAGCCCTCGTAGACATGCACCCATTCACATGGCAGCCATTTATATATCAGTCTTAAACACACCATTCATGTGCAACTTTTTCCTGTGGCTTTCTCTCTCCTCACCCTAGGAAGACCCCACTGCCTTAGGACTTGAAGAGTATCTCTAAAAACAGCAACACAGGTGCAGCCGCAATGTTAGCGGATATTCCATTGTATTCCAATGTTTGAGTCAGTGACCCTGGAGCCCTAGAACTAGCAAGGCTCCAAACATGACCGCTTGTGTTTACTTCCACCCCACCCCCTTTATTTTATCAAGCTTCTCTTATCAGGAAGGGACTGTAAATTGGCAGAACTTCTCATTTCCTGTAAAGTGACACATTTACATGTCTTTAAGCCAACATGCCTTAATCTGATACTTCATTTATTGTTATAGTTGGTGCCTAAAATAGAATCCAAAGTTGGCTTTGCCTTAGTGATCTAGATACAGACTAGATTCCAGCCTGTTGACAATGCAGAAAAGCTTACATGTGGCTTACTGAAACTGGGTTGACCTTAGCAAAGGTGTGGCTTCACTGACCCAGTGGGTTGCTTCCATCTGTGAGCTTGGTTTCAGAGGGCCAAGCAGAAGAGGATGAAGGGAATCCCTTTTGCTGACCTGAATCTGGAATGTTAAGTGGCTTTGAGTTAAAGTGGAACTCCTGCTCTTCACCCTACAGTAGGCTTAGCTGCCAGATGTTGTCTTCCAGTGGTGTCTCTTGACGAAGCATAAAGAACCATTGGAACACAACAACACAATTTTAATTTGCAGATTTATCAAAGAAAGTGAAAGCGGGGGTTATTAAAGAAATAAAATTGAACATTATAAAATAGAGAAATAAAAAAATATGTGAATAATACTAATACTGTAGTATCAAAAACACATCATCAATTCACACTATGGATGCAGTAACCATTAGTATATTCAGTTTAAGAGAAACAAACACGTTAATATAAGCCCACATTCATACCACAATCATACCTTGATGCCGCTTTGAATAGTCCCAACAAATTCAGGGAGCTGCAGCTTGCTAGGTGTGCTGAGAGTTAGGAGGACACACACACACACCCCTGTTCACCTCACAGAGCTGCAATTCCCAGAATTCCCTGTGAGGAGGGATTGATAGTTAAACCACTCTGAGAATTGTAGCTCTGGAAGGGAAACTGGAGTCTTCTCACAACTCTCAGCACCCTTAACAAAGTACAGCTCCCAGGATGCCTTGTGGGAAGCCATGAATGCTTAAAGTGGTATCATAGTGCTCAGTATGAGCAGTGTAAATATGGCCCAGATGTCCAAATAGGTGTCCACATGAAACTCAAGTTGATAAGAGATAAGTTCATATGTGGCCAGGGTTGTGACAATTCTGACAATTCTGTAGCAGATGCTGGTTATTTATTTTTCCGGGCTCACAAGTGTGTATGAGTTTCTTAGCAACCATAAGGGCTAACAAAGTCCTCTTTTTTTGTCCTGCCATTTAATCCCCATAGTACTGGGATATAATTTTTTATGTACATATGTGAGGATTAATAATTTTGCCAATAGCTACATAATGGATGTGGATAACCACATTGTCTGCCTCAACACATCAGCTGCTTCAGCGAGGCATTACAGCATAAAGAATCCAAGTTTATGCAGTGGTAGAGAGTTGGTGGCCACACCAGATACTGTGAATTAAAACAGAAGTGCTCCCCGCTCCGCCACCCCAAATACTGCTGAGGGGGGAGTCCCACAGAAGGTCGATAATGTGAAATCGTATCATTTGGGGGGTGGAGTTGATAGAGGATTCAGTGGGCAGTAGATATTGGACACAATATCAAAATCTCAGCCTGGCAGAAGCTATGAAACAGAACGATAATTTTTTTGGCTTGCTACCAGATGAAGGAGAATATATTAAAGATGGTGTATAAGTGGTACCTGACACCAACAAAAGAGCGATGGTTAGATAAACTGACCAGAGTTTGCAGAATTAGTGAACATGACTGCTAAAATAAGGGAATGTGATGAAGGGAGGACAAGGGCTGAGTGGCAATACTTCAGAGAATATTTAACAAGAAATGATATTACAACTGATCTGCAAGTAGGGGTAACCTTTTGAACAACAGTAAGATAAAACTAAGGAACTGGTAGAATTAAAATAAGGTGAAGAAAACAATGGAAATGCAGCAAACCAAGACTTTATTAGAATGCCACTGAAGATTAGGTTGGGAAGTCTGAAAAAAAGAGTGTAAGATAAAATGAGTAAGGCACACTGTAAAAACCAAAAAAGCATAAATAAAAATAAAAATACACAGTGGGGGGGGGGGGAATGAAAGGATACTCTGAGGTAGGGATGGAAGGACAAATTGGTTTCTGTTAAATGCAAACTGACCTAATTTGCACTTCCTGAAACTAAATGCTGACTGGAAAGGCAGTTATCCTTGAAATTTCTCACTTTGCCAGATTCTACAATGTGACTATCCAGCCCAAAAATGTGCACAGTAACACACATTGGGGGCAGTGGGGCATATGAATGCACAGGTGGGTGAGAATCACATACATAAAATGTTTTATACCAGGAAAAGTCACTTGGAAAAATGCATATATATTAGGAGATAGGGTCATTAAGATGCCGATGAATTTTCATGAGGATTTGAAAAAGGCAGTGTGTGTGGCGCAGAACTGTGGCAAACAAGACATATTCATCCACCTGTATTCTGAGAGGATAATGGTGCTTCCCCATGGGGCATCTGGTTGGCCACAGTGAGAACAAGATGTTGGTCCAGATGGGCCACTGGCTCCTCTTACATTGTTAGCAAGCACAGGTGAAATGTGGAAGGATCATAGCCCAGCGGTGGAGCATATGCACCTTGCATGCAGAAGGTCCTGTGTTGAATCCCCAGCATCTCCTGGTAGGGGTGGGAGAGACTCCCTGCCTGAAACTCTGGAGAGCTGCTGCCGATCAGTGAAGACAACACTGTGCTAGATGGTCTTATTCAGTATAAAGCCGTTCTTAAATTGTCAATTCATAATCGCAGGACATGTGTTAATCACCCTCCACAAGCCAGTGTTACATGCACTCTTAAAAACAAATGTGTAACACAGACACCTTTTGAAGGCAAAAGCAGGAAGAGGAAACTGTTAAAAAAATGCACAGAATGAATAGGAAGTATCAGGGAGGGGGAGTGCATTGGTTTCTGCTCCCTACCCTCTTATCATACATCTTTCAGCGTCTTTATGTAAATCCAGTGGAGCGATTTGAATTGCCAGGTGGCCAAGTTGAAAAAGAGGCATCCCAGAATGCTGTTGGCTGGGCCTACGTGTCATTGCTACCGTCTCAAGCTAAGCTCGCCTTACAGAAAAGGCTTTTGTGCCTGCTTAGAGGCATTGTTGTCCGGCCACACTCCAGACACTCCCAACTAAGAATTTATTATCATGCCACCTCACTGTACCTACAAATCTTGGTCTTTTGAAAAGGGTTGTTTTGTGGCTCAGATGATGAGTCTTGGACCTAGGCCATGGGATGAGTCTTCTGAGAGCTGCCATATTTTATCAGGTTACAACACACACAGAAACTAATTTTTGCTGAAAGCAGACCCTTTGGAATTTGACCCATTGCAGCAGTTTTTGTTCTTTTAGTAAAAACAAAATGAAGCACTGGTACTCATCTACTGATAAAAGTGCTGTGGGTGCCAGCACAAAATGGCTGCCATGGGCTACATAGAAAGAGGTGACAGTGAGTAGTGTCACAAAAAAAGCCCTGCATCCAAGTTAGTCACATCAATTCCAGTGGGTTTACTATAAGTAGGACTAACACTGGATACAGCCCTCCAAGTTGCCTCCAGCTAAATTCTACTCAGAGTGAACCACAGACTTGTTTAATTTAATGGACCTAGTCCTATTATTACAATTATTAGGGTTGTCTCCAGCTAAATTGTACTTAGAATTGATCTTGCTGAATTTAATAGATGTAGTCATAGTAATAATAATAAAAATAATAATATAATTTAAATATTTTGTGTAAACTGCTTAGAGTTTTTGTCACAATCAAATAGCAAAAAAAGGTTAACTACATAACTGTTGTTGTTGTTATTGTTATATAACACAGGGTAGCCACTTGACAGTGGAAAACATCAAAGCTTGCAGGACATCAGTTGAATTGACATGAAAGTACATACTTGGGGCTGGTGTGGATTATAAAACCAGCTTGCTGATATATCCTTGAAGAACAC